TTTTATATGGCATTAATTTCTGCTTTATGGTATTACTTTCGCAAAGCGCGAGAAATTTATATAAAAGGGATTACAGAAAGGGATTTCAAAACTTTGATGAGAAACTGAATTGGAGACTCGACTGTGCAAATTTGATCAAATTTAATTGTGTTTATTTTGATATTTATTAGAACGCCAGGATCGCCTTATTTTGTGTACAATTTGAAATAACTTTTGGGTATTTGAACTGAAATATTTCCACGTTAAATCCGACTTTTTGGCCAGTATATTTCCGATATGTATGGGTGTTGATTCTTCCACGAAACGAATACACTGGATTTTCTAATTGAGCGAGAAACGGGAGCAGGAAGGGAAACAGGAACCTACCTAAATTAAAAATGATTACGAGCGCGCATCGGAATTGAAAAGGGCGCTCGATGTTGGTACGAGATTTCCAAATAATCGGGCAAATCGAGGCCGCTTTTAGTTTTCTTTACTCCGAATAAATTTTCAATTAATCCATCCCTTGAACGCGACCGAAACGGCGCGAGCATCAAAAGAAAAAAATTGGGGTTGATGGTATGTGTTTAGGCGCCGTGAATTGAACATGAACACCTGAATGCCACATGAAAGCGGAGCGTTTCAAAGCCAAATTAATTCTGTCAGATACAGAGGAATCGGCGAGCAGGCAGACGGGCTGCACATCCTGCGAAATCATGATTTTATTAATAGATGGCGTATCGTTTCAGGTGAACATTGTCAAGACGTGTTTTATTTCTCAGTCCGTCAGTTCCAGATTTTCAAATTTTAAACTCGTTCCGATTTAATTTTTTTTCCGTAAACTCGCCGAGTTACGTGCGATTGAACGACGTCCCGTTTAGGGAAATTAAAACCAGAGAAAAACATGTTCGGGTATTTCCAGGAGCTTGTTTTCATTATTGAATGTGGAAATAAAATATCTATAGTATGTAGTTTCACGTTATAATGCTGAATATTTGATGCTGAAAAAACAGCTGAAAATATCAAAAATATTTACTAAGAGATTGCCAAAAGCGCCCGGGCTAAAACAGATTTTTCGAGTACATAAATTTTTAGAAGTTTTGCAGTTGAAAATTCAGGCGATATTTCAGTTGTTTCATATGGAAATTGTGGTAAGTCGGAGTGTGGAAAGTGTCCGATCCGGGTTCCGGGGCGACTTTAAATATTATATAGAGAAAATCAAACAGCAAATAAAGTAGACGGGAAATGGTGGATCTAACACCGCTCCGCTCTCGCTCCGGCGTAACTTAATGGCCGGATCCCGGAAATTGTGAGCACATATATCTCGCGCCAGATTTATGAAAGTGCTTTTCTTCCAAGAGTGTTTGTCGGATAAAGGGGGCGCGCGACGGGCGGCGGGGAATATATACAAAAGCGGCGACCCCGCACCTGCCCACCGGCGTAATTCTGACGCTCGGTTTTCCTTTCCCGGCGTTTTCGGAAAATGCCATCAGCCATCCGGCGTTGCGCCTCTCGCCGCCTTTATTTTCTCATTTCCAATTTAAAATCTGCAAAATTATTTTCACGCCAAATATATTACTTCCGCTCTTAGGTTACGGTCAGAGTGGAAGCGATTTTGCACGAACGTGAATCGCCGGAAAATAAACAAAGGCTTATATAGAATTTTCCACAATCGATTGAATTTGATGAACAAAAAATCCATATTACTGCTCTTCTATTAGGTACAAGCATCATGAAAAATTGAACATGAACAGAACTTGAAATCAGGAACAAAAAAATCTATAATAATTTAGCCAATAAATTATGCAGAAACTTTACCTTCTGTATAGAATTTCATATTTTTCAAATCGACTTTAAAAGAAATAACAATTATAGAAGAACGTCTGGTAAAATTGAATGCGCTGTTTTATAAGCAACGAAATAAGGGCGAACAGAGAAGTAGAGAAGCACTTCAGAATTAAAACATTTACATCTCATCTTCGTTGATTACATTTCCTATTCCGAAATTAATGTCCTTCCGACTCAAATGCAAAATCAGAAGCAATCTGGAGTTCTAAAAACGAAATTATGTCTCCCCATTCACTTTGTCCGCCGTACTCGAAGAATCCAAATACTCAATCATTTGTGGAAATGATGTATTTTAATGTTACAAAGTTTTAATTCCCTCCGAGAGGGTGGATGTCATTGGAAATATCTTCAAATTTCCATTTAAATGTATTCGAGGTCCGCCGCTTTGGTCTTCCCGGACTCGAATTGCGACCGTTTTTATATCCCCGCCGAGAACAGTATCAAAAGTTAATTTGTGGTAAAATCTGAGTGGAGCTGCCTCCTGCTGTTTGCCCTCTAATGATAATGATGGAAATGTGTTTTTCCTAATTTTGCTCGCTGACATTGTATTTTTTTTGCTTTTTTTGCTCACGGAGCGGCCGAATTATTGTCCTCTCCAGACCAGAAATTAATGCAAATTTGAATAAAACCGCTACCAAAATTTAAATTTTAATTAAACAGAGTTAGATTCGAGAATATAGAATCAGCTACCCAAAAAAAACACCACCTTAAAATCTAAAAATCTAAACAAAATACTATTTTGTATTTTCAGTTAAAGATGTGAATTATTCATTTTAATAACTAACTCCTGCTACCATACAGAAGGTATATTGGCCACTTGCGTCAGTTGCAGGAACGTGTTTGAACTAACAAGCAGTCGCCAAAGTATAGTATGGCTGAATTACATAAATTGAATTTTGGTTAGATAAGGGAAGGTCTCGATTCTCGAGCCGGATATTGACGAAGAGAACGGCCAAACTCCAACATAAATAAGATAAAGAAAATGAATATACGAAACGGGAGATACTGGAGGATCTATTGATGAGTGGAAGGGTCATCGGAGAGAAAGAAAATAAAAGGATGCCAGAGCGTTTGTATTGTAAAGGTTGAGAGAAAGAAAGGGATTTTTTTATTTGAAATTTATTAAACATTTTTTTAGAATAATAAGATATTTATTACTTTTTCTATTGTATAAAATAAAAAAATCGTTAATATTAATGAATATTTTCTTCAATCTCCGAAATAAATAAAAACAGAAGGGACTTTTTTTAAACTCGCAGGGTAGCAAGAAGGACGAAGGCAAAGAAAACATCCGACAACTGCGTAGATTAGAAAACGAAAAGAAAAATGACCGGCGTCCAGAACGTGTAGCGCTTCATTCGGTAACTGGAAAACTTATCAAAGTTTGATGGCCGTGCTCGAGGCACTTCTAACTCAACTTTCTTGATAAAAGCACAAATAACTAAAACAAAACTTCCTTTCCTATTCTTTCCCTTCCACTTTTCCTCGCTTCCGGCTACCGTCTGCACACACCTGGACGTAGGAAACTTTTACGGCGTGCCCGGATCGTTTGCTTTTTGTATTATACAAAAAAATATACACCTATTGGAACTTCTAATAACTCAACCTACCTTCATCAATTAATCAAATTTACCAATACATAGAAATATTTGTTATCCTACTCCTGCTAAATTCGTACGCTAATTGTAGGAAAACCCTGTATATAATTGGAAGATATCGAAATGACCATTTGAGTCGCATTAGATTACTGGCATTAGAGAATTGGGGTATAGAGAGATGTTATCAAGCTCACGAATAGTATTGGGGTGTGAAATGACCGTATGGGCTCAATCTCTCAGATCAGGTGGGGTTTTTCGCCTGGAAAATGTTCAATAATCTAATCATTTCCAGCATCCGCAAATTTCCCAACAGTCGAAATAAGTAATTTCCTCTTGGACGTAATAACAGTGGGTGAGAGTAAGAGAACTTTTCGCTCGATAACACGGCGAAATTTCTGTTTTTCTGAGGTTGAACGAAGAAATTCGACAGGGAAATTGAATTTGGGGATGTGTCGACTTTATGGAAAATCGAATGGCCGTTTAATTTTTTATGCGTTAATTCTGGCGATGGCGATAAACCGGGGTTAATATAATTTTATCGTTGGATAAATTTTGCTCGTCAACTTCTTCATAAAATATGGATCGATCCGTTTTAACGGGAATAGGGAAAGCATAAAACAAGTTCCGTACAAATATAATTTAGGTCGGGAGATTTATAACTGGCGAGTTTTACAATCGACATTAACATTTAACGAGTGAGTCGAGTTCCTGGGGAAAATCTCCTCGTTGTTCTACTGCTCTTTCCGTGCCGGTGTCATGCATATTTCACTACGGTTTGTGCACGACAACGGAGTGTCAAAATGAGGGAAAATTCGCTACTTGTAAAACTCAAATCTGTTTAAGGTATAAGGAAATTCTATTCTATCCTAAGCTTCTTAAATATCTTATATCGAATGGAATCGCGTACATAGCTTTATAGTGATTAGATTGCTTCGGGTATAGGTACGTACTATAATTAATTAGCTCCGGAAAAATTCCTTAGGGGACGGATCGATTTCGAAATGAATTTCGGGCCGTCACTTTTTGCAATTAATCCAAAACGCCATCGACAGTCAATATGAGCTAGAAGGTGGTCTTTTGACATGGTAATGACGCTGTCCGCATCGGAACGGGGTCAAACGGGGTAGAAGCGGGTGGTCTTATATAACTAATCAAGACCGTCGCATCCGACTAGAGCCTGATCATGAATATTTACTAGCTAATTCGGTATTGCAGAGATAATGACTCTGTCTGATCAGCTTCTGGGGATCGGTCGTCGTTGGCAATCTAGGGCTGATTATGCCGCCCCCGGTTGTGTCGACCGAGCTCGCCTTCAGATATGTCAATTCATTATTGCTTCTGTTGTTGCTTTATCGCCCGGAATTTTTCTTGCGAGAATACGACCTGCATATACAAGGTTCTTAATGATCTAAATGCTTTAATCTAAGGATCTTGCTAACACTGATGTTTAGAAGCAAAAATTGAACCACTAACACTAACCAAATTGAGATAAGCAATGAGAAATCATTCTCGATCACCTTGTACACGAAATATAAATCTGTTTTTCTCAATAAATTTTTATATAATATAGACATTTCAATCGTTTAATTCATTTAGAATATCATAAGATAACGGAACGAAGAAATCATCTTCCTTGGGAAGTTCGAATTTTTGTGCGGCAGGTGATGATAATTCAAAGGGTGTTTTCTCTTTCAAGGATTCCTCTCTATTGCGATAGGATATTTCAGATAGCTATACAATTAAAATAAAAAACGTATCCTGCAAACTGCGTAAAGTAAAATTATATCGTTTTAATTTTTACGTACCTTTTCTTTCAGCGCTTTCTTAATCTCATCTTGATGCACTCGCGATACCCTCTGATTCCCGTCCATTTGTTCGGTTTTGTAGAGTAATTTCCAGACAATGTCATAATTATCCTGCAAAAATTCGGCCAAAAATTCTTGGACAGATTTGTCTTCCGGACGTGCCTTTATTACGGCGTACAGTAAAATGTTAATCAAAGTTTTTATTTCTGGATGTTCCTTTAAATACCTGAAATAAATTTCATTATATCTACATTTTCCTGTTTATTTTTTAAAACTAAAGTATAATCTTGGAATATTTACCTGTGGTTGTCTTTCAGAAAATTTAATTTTAGTTTGTAAAGATTGCTCTGCTGTTCCTGGGTCAATTTCACATATTGGCATTCTGCTAACATTTCTGCCTCTTCAGTAGAGTGGCTTTTTTGCTCCATATCGCAAATTCTTTTATCATATAAATACGTTCGAGAAAAAATAAATAAATATTCTTGTTTTCATTAATTACAAGTTATAGGAAAAATTGAAAACTGTTTGGCAGAAATATTGTGACAATTTGTCATACGGACTTTATTGTACAAAATTAAATCACTCATATTACCTATCCAATGATTATTATTACTTTATTTATATTCCATTCGTGTAACACTCGAAATATTATTGATAAATCTCCTCTTGGCATAAATTTCCGATTAAATTAACATAATTCAAAAACCCCCTTCTGCTTCAGCTGCATGAAACATCGAGTTCCTATTTCCAGAAATGACCATCGGTCAGCTTTCTTCCCCCATTTACCACCCCACGGCCAGTTATTCCTTAATCTCTCAGTTCAGGGACTAATCGCGCCGAGCACACAATACTTCGTCAACAAATATTCCCTATTCTTGTGCTCTCTAAATTACCAGCATTTATGTGTATTATTATTGGATCTTTGACGTTTACTGTGATTAATGGCAGCATTACATGGTGTATATTCCGCTTCAACTATAGTTTGCAAATGACGGATCCGAAGCGAAGAAGAAAAATAGCTTCTGAGGCTGCTGGAATATTGAGTTGATATAATGACACATTATAATAGCATCATTTAATAAGTTTAATTATTATACATAGATTATTTTTATTACTTTACATACATATGTTTACATTTCTTATGTGGTTAGCTATTGTGGTTTCCCATACCTTTAGTTTATGTGGATTTAATTATTGACGAAACGGAAGGTGCTAAGCTGGCAGATATAATTTGATGAAGTCTCGAAGTTTACCTACTAATGAGAATAATCACGTAGTTAATCAGGAAACGTGTTTCCATTAGTTTTTATGGGTAGTGAAGGACCGTGGCCGCGCAAAACTTGTCCATAAAATAGAAAAACAAGACAACGGACGGGAGATGCAGACAGAGAAAGGAACAATTAGTCCGGTGAATATCTAGAATAGAGGAAACGAGACATGCGTGTATTCAATATATCAATAATAATGATCAATTTCAGTATACATACATCAGTTGGTTATATGTAAGCTAAAGTTCTGCAAAAATTACTTAATTTAAAGTGATATTTAGGAAAAATAATTACCTACGTAGAGGATGTTAATATTTCAAGTTTTCACAATTATTAAATTTTCAATACAAAATCGGTTTACTGATCTCTACTATTTAATGCAGATATTAATTAATAAGTAGAAATAGAATATTCTTGAATGTGAGGCTGCGTGTCCGAGCGGAGCCCGGTTTACCGATCTAAAAAGTTGCTCATAAAACAGAAAAACAAGACGCGGCGAACGGTGCAGAGCGAGCGAGAGCACCGGGAAAAGAGAGCGTCGAGAGAAAATCCATTTTCCCATTTTATCTCCTGATGAACAATAGTCCAGGATCCGTTATAGTTGCTTTGTTGGCACTACGGCGGTAGACCTGGGTATTGATCAGAGAGTTTCCCCTTGCAGGCCGGCCCCCCACCGGCCCCTCTAGACCCCAGGGGGGTGCTGACCGCTGGCCGGTCACTCTCGACTGTACGTATAGCTATATAGCAAGCCGCCCACACTATGACAAATGCTCACCCTCAATCGATATATTACTAGTATTGACATCTGTACTCCGGAATTACATTCGGCATGTATAGAAGCTGTAATTAACACGAAAGACTTTGCTATATTTGTTGGTTCGCTTTGTTTTCAACAAACATTCCGATTCGTAAAATTTAAATACGCTCTTTTTAAAAAATGTATAACGACAAGAAGAGAGAAAACTAAATTGTATTAATATTTAAATCACTCCTTGATTTCTATTCAAATAATTACTTTCTATATAATCACCGTAAATTAATTAAAAAATTATTTCATGTGTAAAAGTATTATGTTATTTTCTTCTTATATTTTTTATAAAACTTCCTAAATTATTCTACCATTACGTTAGCTAGATGTAAAACTGGTGGACCATAAAATTTCTGGCAAAGTGAAATGAAGTAAGCGCGATCTTCGGTGAAGGGCAAATGCCTGTAAGTTCAAGAGGAGTTAGGTTATAAGAAAGGACGTCTCGGTGCGACGTCGGCATGCAGATCATGCGGATGTGGACGTCGCGATGGCGAGAATTGAACCAAAAAACGAAGCGGATTTCCTCCCTTCCGGTCGGCTGTTTAGCTCTAAGCTCTTGTTCTAACCCATTTTATTTTTTATAGGCAAGCAGAATTACCAATAAAATGTGGGTTAACTAAGTCTTATTTGTTTGTTATCACTTCAAAATGCTTCAATCCACCTTGTCAATAATAATATAAATATGTTAAAATAGTCCTTCACAGCATATGTCATATTAAAGAGTGTTTTGCATCCTATTAAGATTTAATTCAAAGAATATGTCAACAAAAAGTAACTAATCATTACCTAACTATAATACGGAGATAAATAATTTATACTATATTTTTTAGTTAATCCTTCGGATAGATAGTTATAAACTTTAATTAAAAAACATACTCATTGTGCTTTGGAGATAGCGAAACTATCAAAGGTTAAATACATCGACGACTCAAAGAGAAAACAATGTTCCATTCTAAAAACGACGTATATGAAGGAAAAGAAGAAAAAAAAAGCGTGATGCAATGAAAACTTTCCGGAATCGCCCCCGCTCCTATCCCCCCGCCCGAGGGCAACCTGAAACTCTGACGAACCAATGGCCGACCTTCTGCATATTACTTCCATAAATCCATCATATTCATAGCTCGCGATCCGCTATTGGTAGATCTGGCGCATTGCAGGCATCCTTCTCTCCGCCCCGACGACGACGCTGGGCTGCTCTGCTAGCCTCCGATATTAATATCGAATTTTTGCTAAGTCTCTCAAGTCGCGAGAGGCGCGCACGCTCCCTACCGGACACTCGCTGGACCTCATTATAGAAGAGGAACGATATTTACTTGCGGCGGCGAGCGAGGGAGGCCGAGCGGCGGTACACGGAGCGAGGAGGCGGCGGCGGGAGCCCGCTTGCTCCTGCTGATGCTGTTCCTGGCAGCGGAGGCAATTCTGAAAGATTTCAATTTAGCGCACTGATGGGTTGTATGTGTGTTATGTGTGAGACTAGTGGACAGCTCATTGTCGGAACAAACTCTATTTTCTTATGAGAAGATTGAAAAATTTACTTTTTGAAATTAATATAGACTTCTAGTTGATTCTTTTAACTCATTAAATAATAACATGGTATTTAATTAGTTGATACTTGCAGTCAAAGATTAAACCTAGCGAGTCGGGTGAGTTCCAGAAAATTTAATCAAGAGATTTTTACAATACTTCCATCAGTTTTAATAAATAACATAGAAACTTATTAAAAATGAGCCAAAAATACACGAGGCATCTTAAAAAGTAAGATCGTTTTTAGGTATGTACTACAATATTAATTTTGTTTACAAAAAATATAAAATTCCCTTCCTGTTCTTCACCAAACTATTTTGAACTGCACAGTGAACTACTTCAGCAAACACATTTATATCTACAGAAGAAGATAACTAAGTATTTTTTTTGACAAAAGCATAGTATAAAAGCAGTTATGACAAACATAACATGAGAGAAGAAATTGGGTAATGATCTTGTTTGCAGTTTCTTATTCATCACATTAACAAAACCAATCATCTACCTAATACTCCTATTCCTGAATAACATTTTCTATAAGCAGCAACGTCTTCATTTTGTGGGTGACGATCTCAAATCCATTGGATCGAAATTCGAAATCGATTAATAGATCATCGAGGGTAATCGGAGGATTCCTTGGGGGGATCGCCGCCGCTGGCGAGAGAAACGAACGGGACACCGTGCGCTCGGCCGCACAACTTGAAAATCAATAACATCTTTGAGCAAACACTTGGCAGTGCACACACGCATCGCTTTCCCAGGGGTTCGGATGGACGTCCGAAAAGTCCGGGGGGACGAAGGGGGGAGACAGCGGGAACGGTCAGCATCCCTATATCCTACATTCCGGGCCGTATCCGGCAGTTTTGGTCGGTTCGGAGCGTTATTAGGTTACCGAGGATTCTGAATTTTTTGAAAGTGTATCTTCTGACTGATGGTCGTGTCGAGTTATACTGTATTCTCTGTCTACTGTATAAAATATTTTCTTGTAGTTTGTTTTACTTTATTCGACTTTTTTTGAGAGTGTATAGAGAATACGGATCTGCGTGGGGATGAGGGATTGGTCAGCATCGCTGTATTCTCGGAGTCTGGGGACCGTACTGGATCTTTCTGTCCATTTCCTGGTGGCGGCGAAGGAAGATGACGAAGACAAAATAGGATTATTAATCCTGTCTCAATGCCGTTCTACACATGTATCGAATACACACACTGACAATAAACATTCTTGATGCTCTCTACTAGATACATAGAATGTATTATAAGAACTACCAATTTCATCATATGAAACGAACAGAAAGGACTTGAAAAAGCCCCTTACCTTTCGAGCAACATACAGAATTTTTATTCCAAATAGACCCAAATACGCTCCAGAAATCCCATTCGAAAGACGAATTCTCCTGTTGCATTATAAAGAATGAGAAATGCAATATCAACATCTTATCTTCGAGTCCATCTTGGGCGATTCCTTTGACTGGACATCGCATCTAAAGCGCTCCATTTTTCTCGGGCTTTGTCAACTCCCCGAGGGCCCCGAAGAGGTGCTATCCAACTTCGCAGAGACGGGAGGCGGCGGGCGAGGGGGCGGCGCAGTAGACGTTAAGTGCTTTCAACAACTCTACTTCACTTTATTACTCTTTTCTAATTTTAAAAACACTATTGGGGGTATTTCCGAATTCCAATTTCCGATTTTTATACAACTTACAGATACCATCAGCCGTTTTAATGTGGATAATGAATCAGGAAGTACATATGTAGCGAATAATTTAATTCTATATATACTTGAAAATATGAGTTCTTACAGCACCGCATCGCCATGCCAATCTACCGTTTCGACGCTGTGAGCGTCGCGGCGTCTGGTTTATTATATTAGGGAGGGACGCTACCAATCATAAATCCGACTTATGATATGATCTGGAATATCATAAGCGGCTAGGGATTGGTCGGGGCGATGTGTATGCCGCCAATAAGGGGGAAATATGAAATTATAACGAGGAGGGGAGTTAGACGCTAGACGACGCCAAGCGTCGACGCCGCCGTTTGATATCCTAGTAAGTATACTCCGTATAAGGATTTACCTGAAAGTTTGTATTTATTTTTAATGTCGTTTAATTTAAATCGTTTAATTTATTAAAAAAAAAACTATGTGGGGTTAATTCTGTAGAATTTAGTCCTAATATGTAATCATCTGGGCTTCTGCTCGACATAATTGAACAAAGCTACATTTCCCAGAGGCACAAATTAAATTTTAACATTAACGTATAATTGAATGCCGAATTGCATCTCATAATGCTGCTCTCAACATTTCGCTCATTGCACAGCATAATTTCTCGGCTTTATTTCTCATCATCCGTTTCCTAATCATTTTTTCGAATTAAAAAATAGTTACCTCATTAAATCAATATTCATACTCTTATTGTATCTTATTTATAAGGTATAATGTACAATATCTTTCTACTATAATGACATGTAATAGATATTGGAATCCCTTTTCTTGTGTGACGCCCTATCAGACGCATCATAAGGCACCGCATTTACTGATTCATTGTCAACGAATTCATCTGCAGATACATCATCAGAATCGGAGAAATCGTCCCTTCCGTACCCTGTGTCGATGGATTTCGAAAAAGTAGACTGTTCTTTTTCGATGGGAATGGAGTATTTGGCCACGATTTCGCTCAATAGATCAAAATTTTTGGTGACGTAGTTCAGGAAAAACCGCCTTATGAAGAGCTTCGGCCTGGCACTTAGCACAGCACGGACTAGCAGTTTCATGATTTGCTTTAATTCGGGATGTCGGTGCAGGTATATCATGTTTTCGCGGACTTTCAACAACTTGAAATTGTACAGCTCTTGTACCTGATTATTGGATAAATTCTCCATTTTGTAATTCAACACATTGTGGGGAGGCCTGTTGGTGGAGTAAAATATTTTCTCGAACTTCAACTCTACGAAATTTAGTGCCATTTTTGTAACAAAAATTAGAAAAAAAAGCAAATAAAAAAATTCCTTCCCCCCTCGAGTAAATCTCACTAAACTCTTTAGATTAATGTGACATTGAAAGTCATTCAGATTATGACACTTAACAATAGAAGTATGAGATAAATAAATATAGCAATTCATTTGTAAAGAATTTTGTTACTAACGTGAGTCTTTGCGGTGGTTCTCGGTACTATCCATTCCAAGACCAGTTTAAAATGATGGTTTTATAATAATATGCAATGAAAAAACATTCCAACTCAACTTAAAATCAACTTAGGTATCAACTTTTGGTAAAAAACGCTATTGATGTTTTTGTCATAAAAGTATACCTGCAAGTTAGATGAATTAAAAATTTAATGAATAAAACAAAAAAGCCAACGAAGTATAGTGGAGACAAAATAATCCCTTTGTAGAAAATGCACTTCATCAGAAAATCACTTAGACAATGGAATTGGAAATGGAAACAGAAACTCAATTTTCCCTTCAGGCGATCTGATTGAAAAATAGTATTATTCATTATCGCATCTCCTGTGTTAGCATTTCTTGGGTTGGCCATCAGGGCGATTGATGGCCAAGGGTTATAAGGACGGATAATGGACGAAATTAGATTATCTGCCGGACAGTGGCCAGGCATGGAACGTCAATATTTCTCCCAAATGGTACCTATGAGAAATTCATTCGGTCGTATATTCGAATCAGACTAATTGGTTTGGATTATCTGACAGGGGGAGTTGTAGAACGTTAGAAAAAGAACCGAATATTTCCTGTATAATCCAGAAAAATTTAAATTGGAAATAATTTTTTTCTCCTTGCCTATGTTCTAATCAAAGACTTTATAATAAGTCGTAATGTCTTTGATTCTAATTAAAATTAAAATCAAAACTATTAAAGTTAATACTCGTATATTTAATAATAAATACCTAAATATCTAGAAATATAAATAATAAATAAATAGATTTGTTTCAATAATATTAGCTAAATTAATTTAGAGATTGCACTAGCTAGTGAAAGTTAGGAATTGGTTTTCTTACTATACGTGACCGGTTCGAACCCGTTATCGTTTATATTATTTCCGGGGTAATGCGCGGAATAAGGATCGTTGAATCCATACGAGACGTAACCGTAAGGTATGTGATTAAACGAGTAACTTATTCTATCGTGTTCGTCGTCTTCCTCGTGAATCGGCAGCGTCGTCACTTTGATTTTGGGTTTTTCGTTACGATTGTTCTCGAACAGCTTCTTGAGAGCGACGCTACCGACTATAATAAGTGCCGCCTTCGCGGCCAAAAGCGATTTAGCCGCTATCACGCCCAGGATTTTCATCACCAGCGGGCCAGTGAGCCCGAAGATGCCCAGCAACACCATGAAGGCGTATTGATAATACCTAAAAAATATAAGTAATAAACCACTTTTATTCAGAAAATGTGTATGCAAAGTCTTAAGAAATTTATTAATAAGCACACATTTTTTGTTTTCATCGTATTTATCATCTTGACTCACTACTTAGTTAATACCACAAAGCGTGGACCACTATGAAGGCTCTGTACATTGCATTTATGTTCTACTAATTAAAGAATTAAACTCACTGTCGTTCCTTCTTTATCCCTTTCATATTGAACATTCCTCCACCACCACCGCCTCCCCCGTAACCGCCGCCGCCGCCTCCGCCTCCGCCTTTTCGAGCCTCGGATAGACCTTCGTCTAAGGGCCGAGCGGTGGAGTTGGTCAGGTCTATCGAAAAAGTATGCGTGTCTATGAAATCCGATAGGACCGAAAGGAGTTTATCGACGCCATCCAATGATTTGCTTCTTCTACGATTGACGCGTTCCCCGTTTCTCACTAGGCGAATATCTCCAAAAAAAGGGACTGTTTTATCCATAAATTGCTCGATTTTGGCAGCTGCTCTTCCAGACATGCAGGATACACTAAAATTAGAGCATTACAGCAAATCTGATCGTTTTTATACACATCATTACACACTTACATTGATTCGGAACTACTACACAGAAAAAAATGACCTAATACACCAGCACTGCAAGACTTGTTATCATAACACTTACAAGATTTTTTATACAGTGTATGTAACATGTCGCTTCTACAGCGAACCGACATATTAACAACAATAATTTTCATTTCATTACCACAGAATGATACGGGGAAACAAATATTCTTGTTAAGCTAACTAAATGATTTATTGTGGGATGATTCGGTTTTATACATTCTCTGCTGTATTAAGTGTATTAAACGTTATGTATTTTTAGAGATCCCGTTTTATAACCCTTAAAACAATTCTATTAGCCAGTAACATAATTATGCCGGTGGTGGGGTGCGTGACCTCTAAGTCGTTAATTTTGGCGCATTTTTTCGCGGAGCTTGTATCGACAAGATCGTTTATGTGTTTTTTCGTGCTTGTATGCTTGTATTTGTATGAAAAATTGGAAATGCCATGGACATTTTTTTTGGAAAATTGGGGATTAGCGGGGCTCATTCCTTCATTTCAAGGTACGTACATGATACTTATGTTTTTTTATAGTAAGTAATTCTAGATAGATAATTTGTTAATAAAGGCATAATTTGGTTCGGTAAAAGACTGTAGAATTCTCATTTTTCTCATTTTTCTTCATTCTTTGTTTTCAGATTGACAGTGATTTTAACCATTTGTACCCGGACAAAATTGATCAACTATACGCAACGTTCCCCAAAGTTGCTCAAGCTATAATAAGCTTGGCGAAATAGCGAAAAATCAAAGTTGTCGAGAATGAAAATGATGTGGATCCACATATAGTGACTCTATTGATATTGCCGTATTTATTTGCTCCAATTACGATTCGAAAGGGCTCGTCTAGGCTCACCTGGCGACCATCGAGAACGAAAACGGCAGAGAGTTTCGTTCTGCATATTAAGGTACATCCACATTACACTTTATAATAACTTAAAAATCCTTTCGAGCAATTAGCAATTTTTTTATAATTCCAATACACATTCTAATTCTTAAAAAATTTCTTTTCTTTTTTTGTGTATAATAAGTGAAACATATAAGTTTGTTTTTCAATCTGAACTGTATTACCACAAACAAATAACCTTATATACTCTATAATGGTAAATGTTATGTATCAGTATTTTTTTAGTTCAAATTTGTGTATTCGTTTAAAAATTTCTCATTTTAAAATAAATGTTTATTTTTCATAGGTACTTCGTTTTTGTGTCAATTATATGTTGACATTTAACCTAAATTCCCATTTTCCCAAATATATTTGCAATGAAAATAGTGTATAGCAAGTAAGTGAACATTTCATAAAGGCTAATATATTAGATTATTATCAGACTACAAATAAATAATAACTGGTATGAAAGAAGCCTATAATCTTAATCAGCTAATTTCATTAGAGCAGCGTCTGTAATTAAACCAGTGGCAAGAAATTTTAATATCTGTTATAAGAATATCTTATAACTGTTACGGCGCCCTTCAATTATTTTTATGTAATTGGTTATAGCTGTGGCTAAATAATTTTGTTAACTCTATGAGCTAACATTACTGTCAATATTGAAATGCATTAATACCCTTTATCAAACGTTTCATAACACTAATAAGCTTTAGTTGTATTATATTTATGATACAGTTTGGCAATTCGTGTTTCATACTAGGAGCAACTCGCTTCACTGTCCCAAATAGTATACAACTATTTAATAAAGAATATGAGAATTCTGGTAATGATTAGACCGCATTTCGTTCAGTGTAGTACATTCATTTAAATTCAGTTTGTTCAAAGTGTCTACGATAAGATTAGATTCTTCGGTTTGGTTGATGTTCGCATTGATGCCGGTCACTATCACTAGAACTATTAACCTGTCGAGCCGCATAATGCTCGATTACAAAAAAACTATCGCGAACCGGACACTATAATGGACGATTTGTGATGATCGCAGTGAATTTATAGGCTCATGCGGCAATTGCGTGTGTGATTTAACCAAGCAGATCTTATGGTTTTCACGATACCGCTCCGTTTTCACTCCCTGAAAAATGACCTGTTTTCTTACTTTTTAGCACGTAATTCGTACGCCGTATAAGCACTTAAAATCTTTCCAATATCTGATGATCTTGGCGAAAATAGCGATCTTATTGCTAAATTTCTTCGATTAATAGGACCATACATAAATATTTTAACATAAAAAACTCTAAATGAGTTTTCTTAGGAAAATCGTTTTATTGTTGTAACTTTTTTTATCATATTCAATTGACTTAAGAAATACTATATGCTATACCTGATATACTTTCAAGCAAATATCATCTCAGTAAAAGCAACTATTGGTACCTAAACAAATCTCGGTAGTTCAATTTTGTAATTCTTGCTTGATTTACAAGCATTTTAAAAATAATGATCCTTTAAAGTGATAATATACTTTGTAATTCGATACTGCCATACAGTTTAGGGATAACCGTAATTAAAAGTAAACTTGCACGAGATCCATTTTAATAAGCGAATAACCAGTGACCGAGATTTTTGTATTATTTAGTCGATTTCACATGTTATGGTTGAAACAGAACGTTCCTTATGCGTGTTTATAGGTACTTGCAATGTAATAATTAGGGATGATTCTCATCGAGAGATCATAAAACCGAGTTATTAATAGGTAAAAGTGACACAAACGGATATCCATTTTTTTAATAATGGTTTGTTAACGGTGTTAATGAGTATTTGTTTTAATTGCCGATGCGTGTAGAACACTCTTATCTGGGTACTCACTATAGGCTATTACTTATTAGTTATATTATAGTTAGAAATACAGAATTATTTTATAAAATACTCGCATCAATTTTTTTTGTTATTTACTATGAAATACTACAATCTCACTATAGAATCAGGAAGGTGTAGGTACTATAATAAAACTCATGATGTAAAAATAAAAGATTGACTTTATTTTTCAATATATCACAAAGTTATCATACTCAATTCACATGAGAACAATTTTATCACACAATAAAATCCTTCAGGAAAAACGCGTCCTTGGAAGTCAGGAACTATATGTTCTGAAAATACACATCTTTGGTAATAAAATATAGAGCAATAACAATTCATAACAAATATGTACCTACATATTAATAAAATAAATAAAAAGTAACAAATAATATTTGTATACGTAAGTATTACTTAGCTGCCACAGTGGGTGTCCATATAACATCACAAATCCGCTCTGAAATAAAATAAATATTGAACATCGAAAAATAAAATATCTATTATTACACAAAGATTTTTTTAAAAATTAAACGGTTTTTTCTTAGAAACAAACATCATGTATAGGCAAAGAATATTCACGAATAACGCCTATACGAAATACGAATAATTCCGAATAACGTCAATATTCTTTGGTATAGTGAAATTTGAAATTTAACAGATTCTAAAAACTTACCTTTCATCATAGTTGCTTTTTATATGGTTGTTGAAAATTACTTTTAATTTATAAAGGATGTAGGAAAATACATCCCTCAGTTGCACAAACGTTGTAATGAAACGCGATGAAGCGTTTGTGCAACCGGGAAATATACCTTTTACTTTTTCGACTACTCTTTTTTCATAATTTCCAAAAATAAAAAAAATTTGAGTAAATCAAGCGTTGCCTGATATCTTTTTTTATTTGGTTGAAAGGGACTTTTGTTACCTCTTTTTGTTTAAATGTATTATTTTAAATTAAGAACCTCTTACGTTGTTGTTGCAGTAGGTAATTTCGTAATTTCAGATAATTTGGTTGATTAGAAAAGATATTTCGGTAAATTTCCCAAAAATCGGTTGGAAACTTTTTCGATACTTCTTTAAGTAGCAAAAATTAAATTTTTATATATTTACTAAATGTTTTCACGAACAGAGTACACAGTTTAATAAAATATTCTTTCATTTTAAAACATGGAAGGATATAGACAGTAAAATTGTTTGTTGCGAATATTTTCTTAGTAAATATAAAAAAATCATAAATCTCAACTACTGAAAAAAGCATGCTTCGACGACTATAGTTACATGATAAGATGATTTTATTCACCTAAGAATCGAACTCATCTCTGCTATTCCGTGCTACTATAGTCGGTGATGGGGTTGCTAATGAAATTCCACTGTAACTACGCAATGTTTTGTTAAAATCCAATTGTTTAAAACACATCTCGGAGGTAATTTCTATCGATTCTTCATAGGCGATCAATTAGACGTGTTTCATAATAGTACCAAAATTAATTTGCAAAAAAACTAGTTTTATTCAGGGTGGCCCAGAACTCGTGCCCTATCGGGAAATGGATTATGGCAACAACAATAGAGATGCCAAAACTGCAGCCGAAGACATGACATTTTTTCCTTTGGTAAATAAAGAGGTTTAAAATCGACCAATCCCAGTAACAGTCCAAATCCACGAAAATGACGTGAATGAGCTTTACTAATTTGACAACATTGAATGATGTCCTTTTCTCTTTCAATGTTAACAAAATCTGTCAAAATCAGCTATAACTAATAATCAAAGATTTGCTTGTAAAAACAAAAGAATGATCAGGATAACTCATCCTCCCGGGAAATCGTTCTCGATAAATTCGAGCAGCTTCTCCTGCGTTTCGTCTATATTCTCCATAAATTATAATGATTTCCATGCATTCAGTGGCTGTATACATACGAGTATTAAGACTTTAATAATATCTTTCAATGTCAAATTGTTAAAGCTTATTCGCATAATTTTTATGAATTTGAACTAAACCTATTTATTTTCCAAATGAAAATGTTTTTAATGTCTTCGGCTGTAGTTTTAGCATCTCCATTGTAGTTTCCATAATATCTTTCCCGGTGGGTACGAGCTCTGGACCAACCTGTATAAGGATGTTAGATTCACTTTCGAGTAAATGAGTGGTATGATTAAAAGAAGTATTTGCTTGTACTTCAAGTAAATGCTAAATTTCGTAGTTTTCACTTCAAAAAATTATAGCATTTGCTTCACTAAATTCTTAAAGTTGGTCTAAAGTCTTTACTAATGTTGTCTAGTATTTCCTCCCTTTGGGAGTGTTTGGTGTAGTTTTTAAGAAGCTAATCACAGAGTAATTTCTTAACAAGTAGTTCACCTAAAAAGGTGTTCAAAATGGCATTGTTTGTGAATTATGGTGAAAAGTAGGGAAATGTAGGGAAATATGAACCTAGAACGTACATTTAACAACCGCGTTAAATGTAATTAAAGAAGTTACACAAAAAATTGGGTCTAAACTAAAGACGGGTGGACGATACTTGGGACAATTAGAGCAATAGATTGTACCCATATTAGAATAATAAAACCAAAACTTCACGGGGAAGAATATTTCAATCGCAAAGGATTTTGTAGTATTATTGTGCAGGCTACATGCAGTTCTAAATGAATATTCACGTCTGTGGATGATGCATCATGGCCAGAAAGCATCTTCGTATTAGTCTTAGGATTTACTACTAGTTTATACTTGTAACCAAAGTAGAATACTTCCCATCAAAGAAATTACTTCAGGTAAAAGATTATTCTTCACAAAATACTAGGAAGTAAAAGCTCTTACTTGAAGCAGAGAATAGCGAACACGAAGTACAAGCAAATACTCCTTTTAACCCTCGGCCGTAGGCCCCTAAATACATAGCGGAATGTACTTTAAAAAATACATGTGGGGGTTGTTTAAATGACAATGACTAATAAATATTGACTAATAAAATGACTAAAAAAAGCCAAATACAGGACTTATTGCTATTTTTTCCAGCTTGATTTTTAGAATATTTGGTAAACAACGTTTGTAGTCGATCTCACAGACCGGGCGCGACTATTGGAGGGTTAATCATACCACTCAATATGTAATAACCAGCAAAATCTCATAATGAACTTGCTCTTGTCATTTGAATAATGTGCAATACATTGTAAGGTATTATTAGTTATCAATAACTTACTAGAAGGTTTGGTCCTAACATTCTTATAAAAACTAAAAATTACGTGGTATTAAAAGTATGTTCCAAAGTTAAAGATATTCAGAAAGTTATCAACAAAATAGAGTCAAATATATTTTGTACAAAATAACTGTTGCTAAAGTTTTTAGGAATTATTTAAAAGCATAATACATTGACTAACCAAAATTAGTCTTATTTTGTACAAAATATTTTTCCGTAGATAGTTCCAAACAACAGAAACCTTTGCTTTACCTCAAGTATTTTTGCTTAAATGAGGTAGTCGTCAGATAGTAATATCTATTGAAAAAAATACATAATAATGCTAGCTCGAAAATACATTATCCTAAAGAACCGCTCGAAATAGAAGCATATCATAAACGTTACAATATTTAGATCACTCATATGTAATCGCGCCTCAGAATATTGCCAATTTCAACCAAAACCATAAAACATCTTATTACATTCATTAGGATTACCGTCAATATAATGCACGATATAATTCTATTAAGTTTACATTATTTTTTGTGGTAGTTTCTAGTATTTGTAACGTAATAATCACATAGAGCATTATACTGTATGGTGTACAAAATGTAAATACTCTGAGATAAGTTTAATAAACAGCTACATCTACAGTAACATAGGGTTGAGTAATGTGCATAATTCTGAATCGTAAAAATTGTAATATTGAGCATATTGAAATCTGCAATAGTCTAGCCTATGATCTTTAAAGCTTCATTCTCAACTTTGAAATTACTACTAAAATAGTACCAAACTTTATATAAAGCTTTCGTAGTAAGTACCAAATAGATTATAAGAACTCAAAGCATAATTTCCGTCATCAATTTGCAGTTTATCCGGTAACAATTTTTTGTATTAATTTGAAGTTGCGAATGAAGTTTGATGTGGCTATTGTGTAAAAAGCAAAGCACATTCAGAAGAAGAAGAAGAGACAATTTCGCAGATTTATAAAGACATTAACATTTTCGAAAAACGATAAACGAATAGAAAGTTCTTTCGGGTTTGCTCAAAATTTGTAAGTACCCTTATTGTCAGGGATTACCCGATACACGTAAAAATTTACAGTGCAATTTAACTAAATATCATTTAATAGTAAGGAAAATCTTATAGACTAATCACCGCCTTCAATATTACCTAGAATATGTAATTGCTTTTTATATTTTTGTTTTTTTTTTGAACACAGAAAGTCTCAAAAGCTATCTATAATATTCATTTGGTCAATTTCACACCGGCAAGAATAAATTTGCAATTAAATTAATAGATAAGAGAGAATGCAGTAGAAGAGATTAAGAGAATGCATATTAAATTAAATAATTTTAGTAGGAGAAATAAAAAACAGATATACACTAAATTCGCTGAGGATCACAAAATTCAATAACAAAAATATCACAAGTTCATAAAGAACTGTTAAAAAATAGTATTAGCTGTAATGGCACTGAACAATATCCAACAGGATTTTTAAATACAAATGTATAATGAAACAGCGAAAATACGTAAATTATAAAAAACGCTAAGAAAATACTTTTTGAGACTATCTGTTTTATTTGATATTTACATAATAAATTTAAAATTATTTAATGCCAATTATGCAAATCTAGGCATACAAAATAATACATTACATAAATTAATTTTTTTAGGCATCGCAAACTATTAATTTGTCGATTAAATAGTTCACATATGGTAATTTAGCACTTATTCAACTTTATTATTAAAACTACAAGAATTTTTATTTTTCAAATTTTCAAATCTAAGCAATTTTACACCCTTAATTAATATTAATACAATATCTGAAAACCATTTTATTAATGTTCGATCTCCATTAAAAAATTACCTTCAAAAATATATAAAATCAACCTTAACCGACTTCAATGTAATTTGAAAATTATTTTCTGTAATTCCCGCAAAAAATATGCTTCACCAATGGGGCAAAAAAATAGTTTTTTACAAATAAATAGGTGAAACTACTACAATATCAGTTCGTTTAAAAAGTACACGAATCAACGATTCAAATGAAAAAGAAATAAAATACAAAGTAAATCCAACCCGTACAAAACATGAATAAAATTCAAATTCTGCTGTAAATCAATCTTGAAAGAGCAGAGAAAAACGAAAAAAGTTTATTTTAATAACGAAATTATTCAAAATGTTTGCAGAGCTTTATTTTAATGCTAAAGCTGTGCATACCTAAAAGTCCCATGTTAAAATTTAAAGCGAATATATGAAATGTGGGACACGAAAAAATCGAAAATACAGTTTTTTTGTGTGCTGAATTCCTCTCATAATTGTAGTCTTTGCAATAGTTTAATTATGGAATTTTATCTTAAACAAACTGTTCAATTCAATAAATCAACAAAATTCTGATTCTTCGCTAAAAAATAATTGCTAAATTGTTGTACAAAAATAATACTAAAATTTAGAACATTTTATACTAGCTTAAACTAGTGAAAACTGAATACAACTGAACTCATTCATCATATGCTCTTTCAAGATAAAAATAGATTACAACAACTAAACCAGCAATGAATTTTTAACCAGTAGTTTGATTCTGGAAGTTCTCCATATTCGAAAAGCGACTTTCGAGAGACTCGAGAGACGTCGCCGTCGACATGACATCGCCCAATTGGGTCTTCATCAATTCGAAGTCCATGACCGGCTCCTTGATGATGGACTGAGGCGGCGGGCTTTGCGGCGCCTCCGACGCCGCCGCCGCCAAAAGCATGATTTCCTTTTGCGTTTCTCTCGCCTCGACCATGAAGATGCTCTCCTTCACCTCCTTGTTGCTGTACTCGTGTATTTTGTCGTAGATGATACCGTGTAGGCCCATCTCTTTCAAACGCTTGATGGTCGCCGGGTCGGCGTTTTCGTCGCCCCAGCAGAAGATGATTAGATTGTTAGATGTGGCGTGCTTCGCCTGAAAATTGAATATTTTATTTTTCACTTTCTATGTGGCGTATCTTTATGAATGAACGAATTAACTGACGTAATATTTATTTGTTTAACATTTGGTGTGAATAATAGGGAGTACAAAGGTCGGATTCTAAATTCTATTCAAAGTACAAAACTATCAAATAACTGAACTAATTAACCTCCTAACCCAAGGACTCGGTTTAAATTAATATTGTTGTCTAACAGAAACATAAAAAAATATTTTATCTCAACCTGTAGGCACGTGGCAATAGTCGATAAGTACCTTATTAAATATTTGTTAGTTGATAAATTAAAATTTAAGTGTACAACATGAGAGATAAATATGAAAGTATTACAACATTTTTTGCGAACAGTTTGTGGTAATTTCTTTATTGAAAAATACACGTTGCGTAACAAAACGAAAAACCTTGACGAAAACGATTGCCACAAAATGGATATTTTTACTAAAACGTTATCAAACATTTGTATTTTTGTATACAAAATTAGTTTCCAAATTCACCCGAGACTTTCCGACGCAATTTTCACGTGACATGCGATGTGTTCCCAAAAATATTCCCAAATGTATTACTACTGCAAAATGTGTACGAGAACAGGCTATTTCCTAGTTAGATTCAGACTTAATCTTAAATTTCCCGTTAATACCCAATCATATGTACTTTTTGAGTTATCTTAAATAAATAATAAATTGCAATGTAATATAATTTGCTAAATAACAATTTAATAATAAATAAATAATTATATACATTTTGCATTATTTGCATGTTGCAAGGAAAGATATGTTTAATTGTGTACTGATGAAATACGAAATATTTCCTAAAAACAAAATAATTTCCTATTTAAAATATATCTCAAATTTTTCCTCAAAAAAACAATAATGGTACTGGTTCAATTAAATGAGATAACTGGTCTCTATTTGAATCATTCTTAGGTAAACATTCAAACACTTTTCCTGATACAGGATATTTAAATAGAAACCAATCTGGTGTATTTTTTATTAGAGTAGTATTATTAGACTAAACAGTGCAATCCATGAATTCTAATCGTTCGTTAAATATTTTGTTGTTGTTGACAATACCATTTAATTCTCTGTAAGCGCCAATATAGACTGATACAGGCGAAATGATCGTATCTATTTGCTTTGGATAATCTCACCGAATTGCGCCATTGGCATTGGACTTTCGCTTCTGTCTACTTATGCATACAAATTCCTGGCATAAAATATGTGTTTGACGCCGAGTTATGCGCTAAACAGTATGAATACGAGTTCATTTAATTGGACGTAAATATTTGTCATAAGCGCAAGTGTAATAAGAATCAATGAACTTTACAGATAAGCGTAATTGTTTGGAAATTTATAGTGTATATTTTATACCATAGTTGACAATATGAATAAATATTTTACAATGGTATGAATAAAAGTGAATGATTTTCCAACTTATTGAATCGTGTAGGTAATTTTATACAAAAAAACTGCACTAATCGAATCTTAGACGCAATCTTCACATGAAACAACGAGTTCGCTACCAAGCGGTTAACTATCTCATATCTATAGCATCGTCGATACTTTTGCAATGTAATCAATAAATTATTTACGCTAGAAACAACCTTTATTGCGCAATTCTATGTATCCATAAACTGATATGCACTCTTATTAATAATAATCTTTATCCTATAATTTCTCTGAACCATCAGAACACATTTTTATTATTAAATTAGTACTTTATACTTTAGTACTAATTAGTATTTTATTAGTGAAATGAAACTTTTTCATAAAAAAGAGATGCAATAGCCTTGAAAAAAAACTGTGGCAAGGCAGAAGAAACAAGAGCAAGTGGAAGGTCAGATAATCATATTTCTCATTTCAATGTAATATAAATAGTGAGAAAAAAAGAGAACAAAGCTAATAAGTAATATACAAAAACTCTTGGAAGGAAAACCAACAATCGTCATAAAACAAATAAGATTTAAAATTCAAGCTCATTATAACAATATGAACCAAAGTTCAGAATAACATATTTTTTTATATTTTTAGACTACAAACACTTAAAATTATTAGTGATTTCAAGTGATTCCAACAATAAGATTGATGCTAGACTAATGTTTTGTGGACCTACTTTTGTGGAAACAAATCTCAATTATCTATTTAGTAAAAATGAAATAAACTGATATCAATAAATGCGTCGTGTAGAAACAAGGTTTTGAATTTTTTAAGAGATTTCTATAAATATAGCAGATAGACCTGCAAAAAAGCTATTTCTAATGATACATAAAGTACTTCCAATTATTAGATAAAAAATAATCGCATTACTTGTTTAACATTCGATGTTAATTTAATGTTTAATACCTTCTAATGTTTAAATGATTGTGAGCAAATGTTTTTAGGTCTGGATTAGGCGTACACAAATAAAATGTTACCAATCAATTAATCAATTCAACTGGCCAAATCTAACTGGCTGGAAACATTTTTATTATCGCTTGGTGTGAAAATTTGCCATTTTAACTAGTGCAATGTTAAAAATAAATATATGGTTATAACGATTATTAACGAACAGTACCCTTGACTTAAACAAATTGGAATAATTATGAACTCAAACTCGAAGCCGCAATTACAACTTATCACCTCTTTATTTACTTCCAGTCGATATAATATAAAATGTAATATTTGAATTCTGCTTGGAGTCGGATCAATTTTTATTATAGCTACCCATATAATCGTAAGAATTCGCTATAATACTATTGATAACAGAACTTTAAATTATTTTATAAAATCTCATAAAATTTACTTAACAATGCATGAAATATTTAGTTTTCAGATTTACTAATAAAACGTATGTTTTTAAAGCAAAATTTTGTCAAATATTTACTTGAAGTTAAATGTATAAAAGCAAAAACTTTTAAAACTTGTTTTTATTAACTTTCTCGGCAGAATGTAATTAATGGCATTAAATTAGTCCAAATTATCCACCAAGTGTAATTAAACACTTGTATGTGATCAGTATATTTTAAATTTAACGAATACTTGGCATGTTTTCGTAAGAACATCGATGACAAATGCATTTTTCAAGCGTACAAAACATAAGATATACATACCAAGTTAGCGTCTCTTAAAAGATCTTCCGAATGCACGTTGATTCCCAAAATTTCGATCATCCTGGCATACTGAGCGGCTGAATAGATGGACCAACAACGAGGATCCTTGTACTTCGAGTATACTGTACTCTCTCCCACGGTCAAGAACATGACGGGATACTTGTTCTGCTTCATTCTAATCACCTGGCATATGTCGGGATTGAAGCAGGAAAAAATTATTCTTCTGTCGCCCGCGTACCGAAGCACCACGTCCAGGATGGTATCCAAGTATAAATTGAGATCTGTGGGATGGTACAATTCGTAAGTACCATCATTCATTTGCATGGTCCATTTGATTTCTATGTTGAAGCCTGTATGGGTGTCCAACGTTTCTAAAGCCTGCTGAAGGGTTGGAAAAGGTTGGTGGTCCTCCAAATCTTCATCGAAAAATCTTTGATTCTTAGTTTTGCCTTCAGTCAAATGGTATACCTACAATACATTTATAAATCTAACTTCATCAATTGAACAAAAGCGCCGCTACATTTTAATAAACTATTTATGAATTTTAAGCAATTTCAATAATATTAGGTATTTTGGAAAATAAAATAGTGTATAATGAAATGTGGAAAACATTCAGAATGCATATATAAACAGTTCAATATTATGTATATTCAGTGTCAATAAATGAACTTAACAATAGCAAAATAAATTACATCTATTTTAAAACAAAACCTGGCCAATTTGCGCTTGCCAAATGCTTCCACATGTTAGTTGTTAGCGCTGCTAAATATAGTATAAAAATAAATATCTTCTATTTTAAAAATACATACCTTTAATAGTCTCAATTGATCCAAAGTTAGTTCTTTGAGCGGTATTTCCAGCATATCATTATCCGCTAATTCCTTCTTCTTCTTCATAGATATGCATACGTGAAAATCATGGTATATAATAGGCACTAAATCTTTGCTCAATTGTACATCAAACTCGACGAAATCAGCCCCGTGTTCGATAGCGTTCTTCAAACTTGCTATAGTATTTTCTCTGACCTCAGCGCAATTTTGAACTTTTGCCTTAAAGCTAGAACCTGAGCCCCTATGGCCGACATCCAAACCCTGTCTGGTTTTCTTCCAATGTCTAGCGAAAGAGACCATCATATCACATTTGAAATTCGGCATTGGTCCAATCAATAAATATTCTATTCTAATTTGTCCTAAAGGACGGTGCTTTGTACTTGTCACTGGTAATACTACATTGCCTTCGGAGGTCTGGAGCACAGAGGGTAGCAAGTAGCTGAAACCCGCATGATAAGGGGGCTCGCCGTCGCCACTTCTGCTGCTGTATATGTAGAGATCAATCAAAAAAGCAATATTAGATGGAAACAAAACTCTGGATTGGAAAATGAGCATGTCGTCCTTGTGGAGTTCATGTCCAAATTGGTTTTGAGGCTGAAAAGTCGGATCTTCGCCATTGAGACTAGACACTTCGGTAAAGGCGTGTCGAGGAATTTCTACAGAATCCTGCGTGTCTGCACTCAATGATTCTTCCAGTACCTCAGACATTGACTTTGGAAAATTGCTGTGCCTGGTCAAACTAACAGGCGTTACTTTTATGTTAACCAATCTGTTTTGATACTTTTGTCTGAATAGTACAAGAGGATTGTTACACAATTTTAGCTGTATGACAGTCTCCTTATTCAGCCATCCTCTATCAATTCTTTGAGAATCATCATAAAATCCGTAATCATGCGGAGGATCTTCCAATTTAGGTGAAATGCCAGATTCAGAATTAATTTCTCTCGGTAATAAATTGGCCTCCCAGCTTTTGACAATCACCTGGATATTTTGCTCGATAATCACACATATGCAATACCTAAATTGTACTTTCTTCTTTTCGGGAATTTCAATAATACCTGACCAAACGTTTTCGTTGCTGTCGTCCTCTTCTTTGGTGAGAGGCACGCATTTCTCTGGATGCCAAGAGCCCAGCTCTGGCAATTCGCCTATCACGCAGACAGTTTCATCCGATCGTAGATCAGGTACGCAGACACGAAACAGCCAATTCTTCGGAGTGTACTCGGTCGATTTCAGAGAAGTGCTCGATATCTTTGATTCCACTTTTCCAGGACGAATGCCCGCGAAGCTGGGGTCTTCCAAAAAGAACCAACGCTGCATGGTGACTATTTCGAAAAAATTTCCTACTAAAATTACTAGTCCAATTTAGAAAGCTAACTACACTTCTTTAACTCGAAATACGAAAAATTAAAAATGACTATGGCGGAAGACATTTTCAATACTCGCTATCAAACTCACTTTCGCTCGATTTGCTCGCCACAACAGATAATGAACACATTTTCTATACTTATGATATACTAAACGTAGGAAAGCATAACCGTACGCCAACAAATATAAAAACGCACTGTTGTGTTGAATGTGTTGCTGCTCCTACTCGTCTCGTAACATTCAATTCAACGATTCCACATTCAAATTTAATTCGTTGTTCAGCAATGACGTTTTTCACTCACTACACGAGAATTTTTTCTAAAAGTAAATAATTATCGATGATGTCAAATAGTGACATTTGACTTTAGTCATTAAATGAAACGTCATAATTATAGCTAAATTAAGAGATTTTTAATGCAACGTTGCCAATTCGTTTCAACCCATAAATTAATTATTTAAATAAAATAACTTCTAACGGTTTGTTATATACTTTGACCTTATTTTAAATTACTAGTCTAATCTAAATTAATTAGGAATCTGCTGATTTTCATTATAAATTATTGGAATTTTCGATTTGGCAAGCAGTATTTTTACATTTGACACTTTTGACATTATCATATGTCAAAGTCATTCAAACGTCAAGTTTCAAACACGTGAAAATAAAATGTTGTCATTGGCAAATTTAAGACAAAGTTTAATAAAACCCAATGTATCTAAAACGATATTTACGTCGAGTTTAAGACAAAGTAGTAACACCGATGATATAATTCTAGAACACAAGGACATTACCAAAGACCGAACTGAAAAAATTCCCGTTGAAACTAGCATTAGATACCTGAAGAGTCTTGCCTTTGAGAAAACGTACGAAGGGAAGCCGGTGTGGGTTCTGTACAGAAGAAATCACAAGGGATTGTTTCCGCCCAAGAAAACCAGAAAAACCTGTATAAGAGCTGGCCAAATATCTACTGGCAACCCATGTCCGATATGTAGAGACGAATACTTAGTACTGCACGAAAAGAATGTCGACTTGCTAAAACAATTCATTTCCCCACAGACTGGAAGCATTCTAAGCTATTCCAAAACGGGTTTATGTCAAAAGAAGCATGAAGAACTTATAGTGGCGATCAAACGAGCTTACGATAGGGGATTAATCACATTTGATGTGCCATTTAGGAAGTACGATTACTCAGATTTCGCTCCTAAATCGACGTAATGGAGGCCGTTTTTGTAATCGTCGGAGGAGGTATAGCAGGTGTTACATGTGCAGAAACATTAGCATTCTTCCAACCAGATAAAACAATTATACTTCTAAGTGAATCATCTTTAATTAAAACAGTTACCAATCTACATGCAATTACCAGAACTTTGACACAATTTGATGTAAAAGAAGTTTCAACCAGCGAATTTTCATCGATGCATTCGAATATTGCAGTTATTCATGACAGTTTATTAGAAATACATGATGGTGAGAAATATGTAGTAACAAAAAATAATAAAATTGTCAAATACTCTTACTTATGTTTGTGTACGGGAGCTGAGCCTAAACTCGTACCACAAGCTAAAGATTTCGAGGAAATATTGGGCATTAGAGATACGGATTCAGTCGATAAATTTGTAAAAAAAATCGCAAACGCTAAAAAGGTGATCGTAGTTGGAAATGGTGGGATCGCTTCAGAATTAGTCTACAAAATAAAAAATACAGAAATCCATTGGGTTATTAAAGACCGTCACATCTCGTCTACTTTCGTCGATCCGGGTGCAGCTGAGTTTTTCCTACCATCATTAAAAAACAACGAGCAGTCTACAGAACCGGTTAGCAAACGAATGCGCTATCAAGAAGAAGATTTCAAAAAATCCGGCGCTGCCTTGGGTCCCGATTGGTACAAGAACCTAATCATTCGAGGAGCCGGAGACCTAACTGTCCCATCTGAAGTTAAAATACATTACGAATCAGAAATAACACACATAAGCAAAGATAGAAACTCCGTTCATCCCCTTCAAGTGACTTTATCGAATGGAGCAGACCTTACGTGTGATCTTATAATATCTGCTACAGGAGTAACTGCTAGAAAATCCTTTGCAACAGAAACAGCCCTTGAATTAACCGAGTTTGGGGAAATTAAAGTGAACGAACATATGGAAACAAATGTACCAGGAATTTACGCAGCCGGTGATGTTTGCAGTGCCAATTGGAACGTAGCTAAGCATTGGTTTCAAATGAAACTTTGGACTCAAGCCAGGCAAATGGGCTCGTATGCAGCGAGATGCATGTCTGGGCATTTGAACAAGGAGGAAATCCTGCAGGATTTCTGCTTCGAAATGTTTGCCCATTCCACTAAGCTCTTTGGTTACAAAGTGATTTTATTAGGGCTGTTCAACGGGCAGAAATTGGGGACAAACTACGAAATTCTTATTAGAATGACCAAGGGACACGAATATGTCAAGTTTGTGTTAGAAAATAACAAATTACAGGGCGCTGTTTTAATTGGAGATACCGACTTGGAAGAAATGGCGGAAAATTTGATTTTGAATCAAATTGATTTGTCGCCTTATGGAGATGACATCTTAAATCCAGATATAGATATCGAGGACTATTTTGATTAACTGTTGAATGTATCCACCACTTTGTGTAATAAAAGTTACTAATGTATATGTAAATATTTAATTTATTAGATCAATATAGCCTTATTTCCCTTAATTTCTACTATTCTGTGAAAATTGACTTTATACTGATAAATTCGGAGTTATACACAATAAATAATATTTATGCAAAGTAAGTAGAAATATTCTAAAAGGGAAACTGGTTTTAAAATGTTTTCAATATGTTTAAAATACATTTATAACTTGAGTTGGAACATTGGCCCAAAATGTTTCTCCATCCTCAGCAACTGTTACGCTGTAAAAAAATAAATAATTAGAACATTCCATTAGGAGCTAATTAATTTTGAACACTTACTGAACTGTATATTTTCCTGGAGTAGTTGGTGCCTTCCAAACAACAGTTTTATTAATTTTATCAGCCGAGTTTTTATGGGTCAGAGCGCTCTGAAACCAGATTCAATATTTTACAAGAACATTTACCAGGATAGCCTGATGAATAAAAAAATTGTATGTTAAAAGCTCACCCTAGGAGTGTCATGGCAATCGACAGTTTTGAAATACTTGTCACTTGCCGAAACAACAAATTCCCCCGTAGCTTCATTGGCTTTTCTCACTTGGACCAACAAGCCTTTGAAAGAGCGTCCGTTTATAGAAATTGCCACTTGTTGTCCGCCTTTGACTTGGTTTTTGTTCACCGTGATTTTATAAGGTAGAGGAGATTTTTGGGGATCTACGGGGTGTTTTGGGGTCATATCATTGCACACTTCCTTGGGTGCGCCCCCCGAATAGGCGTTACAATAGTAAGCCATCGACAAAACAGTTAAGATAATCAATTTCATTCTAAAAAAAATAAAAAAGTAATTTTAATTTTTTTGGGATTATTAACCATGAATTGCAAAATTCAACAAGCTTAAAGGCTATACGCACTCTTCTGAAAATACAGGGTGTCCCGCATAAGAACCGACACAGAGCGGAGTCGTGTATTAGGGGAGCCTAAAATATATTGTTAAACTCAATAACTTTTGACTAAACTTTTGAAATATCGACGATTTTAAGTAACATTGATGGTGTACATGAATTTATTTTTTAGCGTTTTTCATCAAAACGACAAAGGATTTAAAAAACAAAAAGAATGTAAAAGTTGAACCTATGAAATGAACTAAATATCTTTTATATGATCCAGCAGTTAAAAAATTCTGTATCATTTTAAGGAAGCACCATCTCTGATGAACCCTTTAAAATGCATCAATAATTGATCTCTCCTAACTATCGATTAATGCTCTTAGTAGACTCATAAAATATACCAAAATTAGTTTTAAGTTTAAGTATTACTGAGATATTAACGTTTTTTTTAAATTTCTATCTCCACTTTAAAGACCCATAACTTCTCAGGAATGTAACTTTTGTTTTAAGTTAATTTACATCCCTGCTCTGTGTCGATTACTTTGCGGGAAACCCCGTCTATTAATCCACAAAAAAATAACAAAGTAAAAACACTAAATTATTTAATAGAATATTATTTATATGCAGCATTAATTATTTATTTCCAATTTTGGTACAAAATTTCATAATTAGAAATAAACCGGCGAGAGCCGCAGATAGAGATTTTACAGCACTTACGTTATATTTTTTTGGCGACCGTACCACTTCAGTATCGACCTAGGCACTAACGAAGAATAGATGTCCCAGTTAGCAATTTTACTTTCATTCGATTTTTAGTAGGGATAACTAAATGAAGGACTCCGTATGTTTCATAACGGTCTTGTTTTACTAATTAGTCGACAGCAGCTACCTATCAAAGCGAGTTCCTATCAAATTGAACGAACCGGTTCGTATCGTTGACCGAAAACAAAATTTTGGATTTTCCAAATTCAACATTCGACGATGAATTATGTTATTATTATTACCTATCTAGTTAATTTAGATTTTCTGAGAATTATTAATTGGTAATTATTAAACCCCGCATGATTATTTAAAGATGTTTGTCTTTAAGTTAACAGACATTCGAAGTAGACGATATTCTTGAGTATTTAATAACAAGAAGCAAAATAATCGATTGTAAAAATGGCACAAAATTCTATTCTACATTAAAGTGTTTAATTATTCTACAGTTATTTCAGCTGCTGGAATTTTTGTCCAAAAAACGAATCCATCTTTGGCTATTGTGGCACTAAAAAGTTAATAGAAGCAATTAATTTCTAATAAAATATGTAGAAGTATAACTTACTAAATGGTATATTTCCCTGGAACATTCGGGGACTTCCATACAATTTTTTTATTCTTTTTATTGGCGTTATTTTGATGCGTAAGAGTATTCTACAAATATACGAAAGATAATTTTTTATATTTCATTATATGAAAAGCATTAAGAAAATAGAGTAAATTGTATTCACTGAAGGTGCATTTTAATACCACTAGCATTACTCGACCTTAGTTTAATTATACAAATACCCAATAATTTTACAGTTATAGGTATAAATTGTAATTAAAACGTACGTTTATAATTGTCTACAGTCGATTGAATGAATATATTTCATGTTACATAAGATGAAATAATATATTCCTTCATAGCATAATTATTCAGACTTATGAAGGACTCTATCCAGATTTATTTTGCCAATTTTAAAAGGATATGCAATATTTCCGGACAATCTGACAATATATATTAACTTACTTTTTTACCACGATGGCAATTAATGGTTTTAAAATCGTTTTCTTCCTCATCCAGCAAGAACTTTCCTGTGGCATCCTTTCTTCTTCTCACCTCCATCATCAAGCCTTTGAACTTGTCTCCAGCAATTTCTATTTCAACTGCTTCTCCGGCTTTTATCTCAGTTTGATTGACGCTGATTTTATAAGGATGCTTGTTGTGTTGAGGCGGTACGATATGCAGAGGCAGCATATCATCGCACATCAAATCTGGAGCACCGCCAGAAAAAGCATAGCAATGCTGAATTACGCAAAGGGCGCAAAGAAAAAAAATGGAAATCATACTAAAACAATCATTAAGTACCTACTTTAGCATTATAAAAATCAAAGTGCCTAGTTATAGAATCAATCCCCAAAGGAGTTGATTTCACTTTACACATTAGGAAGCAATTTAGCAATTTCCTCTCTAGAGAAAATTGATCATACTTAATATTCTGTTAACAGAATAATAAAATTAAATTAATTGCCCGGCTTGCAATGTCATTGAATTTGCATATTCCTAACAGCATGTACGTAATCTTGTGAAAAAACTTACCTTGTTTTTATGTTACCTTTGCAATTTCAACTTTATTACTACGAAAGAACTAAACCTTTGATCTAATTTTAATTAAAATAAATGTATCATGGTCACAATTGACACAATTGATTGAATTGTGGGGGTACAAGGGGGCTCGATATAGGTAAACAAGTAGAACAATTATACATACATATAGTTTAATTACGGTAATTACATTTGACGTAAGAATAATAATTAATCTTGGATTACACATCCTTTTTATCTTCCGCGTATGAATATGATATTGTATCAAACAATATACAAGGTAGGTATATCCATTGAAAAATTTCATTTCCTCGTTTTAAGGTATATGGCCAGGAAATGGCATAATTTCCTTGAAGAAACTGTTGAGGTAGAAAAAATATGGTATATGAATGTAAGTTATATGCAGGTTAGACACTTTAATATCTGACTATATGTGATGAGAGTAAATATTAATAAATTAGTCAACAGATAAGTATCAACTAAATGTTTATTGAAGGCAAATGGAAACTTAATACAATGAAAGACCTTTAATCTTAATTATGTAATTATCAACTTGTCTAAAAAATTTGGCGAATTTAAATTTACATACAATCGTTGAATTAATATGCATGTCGTTATGTGAAAATTCCACAAAAATACATGTTTGGTTTTCTTGCCAACATCTTTCAAACATCTCGTGACTTTTGTATTAAAAAGCAAAATATAGGTAATAAGTTTTATTTTTTCAAAAACAGTAAAAAAATGTAGCAATTCCTATTCAAACCTATACATTATTTACAGAAGCTAACTACCCCTATTGCTATTTGTTTTTAAATATAAATAAATTTCACATGTCCATGGGACATAATCACAGTATCACAATTGAATGATGCATGTCCTTTCATGAAGATTTTCAAATAAATAACTAACAACCGAAATAAAGTGTTCTACACTAAAAATATCACAAGTTATTTTTAATATGTTCGCTGATTTGTTATATTCTATGACGGGTGAATAAAGGGACAATTGTCTCTGTTCCGGCAATAGCCGTGATTCTGAACGTTTTTGCAAAGCCTTCCTCCTCGGTTTCCGCCTCCGCCTCTGCGCCAGTTGCCCCCACCGGGGCCGTTCATGCGGATCCAGTTCCCCCCATTGTCATTGCCACCCCTGCCTCGCCTGAAGCCGCCCCTGTTGGCGTGCCGGATGTTGTTGAAGGAGTTAGGCGGGAACATGTTCATGTTGTTGGGGCCGTTGAACATGTTGAAGTCCGGTTCCGGACCGAAATTATCAGCCATCGGACCCGGGAACATGTTCATTTGGTTCATCATCATTTCATTGGGGGGCATCATGTTGGGTGGTCCCATAATGCCGCCGTTGGGCATCATATTAGGCGGAACGAAGTTGTTGGGAATCGGGGGTATCATCGGGCCGTTGGGGCCGGAGAATCTGGGATGAGGCATGTTGGGGAAGTTGGGCGGCGGCATGTTGTTGAAAGCGGGAGGGAACGGGCCGGGAATATTGGGGAAATTCATGGGCATTTGTGGCTCGGGCATCGGTTGGTTGCCTTTAGGATCGGGCCAGGGGGTGTTCCTTAGATCGTATTCTTGGCATTCCGGATCGTCCAAAGCGATGATGACGGGATCTGTGATTTGGTGATTTTCGGGTATCGGTTCTTCGGGGCTGTCGGGGATTTTCCTTTTATCGAAATACAAAGCTTGAAGGACGCTCTTTTCCCTGGCGAATTGGATACCTTTTTCTAAACTTTTAGCACCTGGAACTACAGTCAAAGGTTCGACCATATCTATTTCGAACGGTATCCGCCACACTATTTGGGGTTCCATTAAGTCCTCACCGCCAACTTTCCTGGATAATTGTAGAGCTTCCCTTTCATTAGATATGTCCATTTTGGCCATATCGTTAAAGGCTTTCGTGACGTTCACTCTTTCGGTTTCGTCTAATTCGAAATACCGAATTTCAACAAGGTCTTTATCAACTTTCCACGATATAGTCTTCTTAGGCCCTTTCTTTCGGGAGTACAGTAAAACACCTTTAATGCTACCATCAATTTTCATTTTCTTAATTTCTTCTGGGTTGTCTTCGGTCGGTGTTACAGCTCTGGGAGAATTATTTTCAACACTGTCTTTATCCTCGGAAACTACACTATCGTCTAAATTATCGTTTTTGTCGTTTTCCTTATTCTCATCGTCCTTTTCCTCCACGTCTTCGGATAGGGTGTCCTGGTAGAAATTGATCGGAGCGATGTTTTTCAGGCCCAAAGGAGAGGTGGCAGGAGCTGCCGTAGTCGGAGTGGTTGGTGGTTCTTGGGCTGGAGACGCATTAGGTGATGTTGGGGCGTCTTTAGACGTACTTGCTCTTCGTTTCCTCTTTTTGGGCTCTTTTCTCGACGTGGCGGCCGTGAGAGCGTCGTTGAACAGGTCGCTTTCTTGTAGCATTGCTGCAAAAGAAATTACAGTAATGAATATATAATTCGGGTAGCGTTTGAAGCTAATTTGATAATAGGAAATGGCAGAATATACGGTTTAAACTCATAAATTTTCCATCTCATTAGAATTACGAGTTGCTTATAGATTACTGATAATTTTTTAATTTGTTCTAAAACTAACTATTTTATCAATTACTGCACTACAAATTATATAATTGATAAACCTGTTGAAATATGTTTAATTCGAAAACAATATCGCGTTTGTAAACTTTTTGGATATTTTATCTTTACGTAATCAAGGAGTTTGAGTGCGAATTGCAATTTATTTTGTTGAATAAAATGACACCAAGTAATTAAGGCATCATAATTCCATGGTTATTTTAACGAATTCGAAATTTTCTTAATTAATACTTAAAAAATAAATGATACCAATTCAATTGGGAAATAATGTTATTTTACAAGCAAAAGAGTATATTTCAATATACTTTATTTTGCATATCTAAAAAGTATCGAAGGTTTCCTATTGTTAATCTATGTACTGGCGGTTTTCAAGTAATTTACAAATATTTGCTTTTACGTATTTTTTCGGTCAACAAATTAAATCTCTTTGTCTTGGTCAAAATTTCAATTTATCAATATTAAATAACCAACGAAGGCTTCTCCTGTACAATATGTTGTGTAACTATTTAATGGCCTAGAATCTCGCTTTTACATAAACGGCAAGAACTTCGTCATATGTGCAGGCAAGTTTTATGCAATACAGAATTAAATATATGGTAGGTTCGAAAAACTAAAATTTTAGTCAAAAACGTAAACCAATTATATCAGGACTTCAAACATGAATTCAAATTTTAACTAGAAACTGCATATACCGTTTAATAAATCTTAATTTCGCAATAACTAATGAATGTCGGTAATAATATTTATTAACTACTAGCTTGTGACAAAACCGAATTTTAAATTGCATATTTTATTTTAGATTTTAGAACGACGGATTTTTAGAACGAAGGATAAAACTATTAATCTTCAGGTAGAAAAAACTGGAAGGACTAATTTTTTGAAATTAGTAATTATTAACCATGGTTGAGCAGGTAATAAATCTCGGATGCTAAATTACCAATTGTATAAAACCAATATTTTTAACATTGGGAAATTTAATAATTCAATTTATGTAAGGAAAAAAACTGAATAAATTAATATTAATTAATAAAATCGACAGTAGGCAGATATTACCAAATAAGGAAGAATCAAATAGAAGTTTTGTATTTTACTGTCTACTAGGAGCATTCGAGGTAAAAACATCAAAATATCATTTTTGAAAGTCGAAATTTCTGAAATAATCACAATCTCGAAGTAAATTAAAAATCGATAGTCAATAGAATCTATTTTGAAACTAAAATCAATATTTCAAAACTGCGCATGGTCAAACAAAAAAACTGCATTAAACAAGACCTGCACATTTATAAATCCTAAGATGAAAAATATTCGAAGTACTAATGACGGTATATTAGAAGAATTTTAAACAAATTATATTTTTTGACGTTCACTGAAGCACAAGTTATTTTTTTGGCAACCGCTATTGATTTGATAACTATAATAAACTCGGCTAATTATTTTCATCGATGAATTTATTTAGTTGGAGAATCAACTAAAATAAATGGCTTGAATTATTTATTAGAAAATATTCAACATGAAGTAGGTATTAGTACACTTACACAGCACGAATAAATGCTCTTTACGAAGCTGAAAATGTCATAACGAATTAGAGCAAAGTAGGGCTTAATGAAAAATAACTGTAGAAAATATGTTTGTGTGCTCTAAGAATTTAGTTATGTACTGGTATAGCTGCTCAATCTCCTAAAATTCCCAACACCAAAAAACACCATGCACTCATACCTAAACGCATCTTTGTCGTGTTATGTGTGTGTGTAACAAAATTGAACATTGACATGGAAGTGCATGTCACTTTTCTCAATAAAAAGTTAAACGCAACGCACACGAAATTCAAGAATTTGAAAACGTTATTTAATTGAGTGAAATAACGCCGAAACAGCCGATAATTATGTACCTTCAATAACAAAAGCCAGTTGGTGTAATGTGCCAAAACCCATAAGTAATATTCTTCACGAGTTTTGAATGAAAATCTTCCTTGTAACTTTAAATAGATATTGGCCATCCTCGTACATAATATGTCGATAGTCTCTTTTTCTCCAGTTTTTTATTAAATCAGCAAATCTGTATTCTTTTATTTGTTGAATAGGCATCTAAATAATTGTATTTTTATCGTTTATGGAACTTCACACCAAGGTTTGCGTCTCTTATCAGCGCAACATTTAACAAATGTTCTTTCTGACAATTCATTTAGGCCTTTAGAGTATAGGACTGCTTTCACACTGTATATTCCATGGGTTTAGTCTCTTCTAGTCTCTACTAAGCTATGTTTCTAATGCACAGCAGACAATCGTGCTGTATGAAGGCTGCAGAAAAGCAATATGCCAATGCTGTATCTACTTCTCGTGCGCTCAGATTCCATATTTTAAAAATTGCCAAAGTACCACCAAGTTCCTTGGTTATTCAATAATTATCCAATCAATAAGGAAATGCTTGAAACAAGTTGGTTAATGTCGAATATAAAGTATAAGTAGTCTCTACTTAACATTATACAATCCCTGAATCAAGAAATGTGTGTGCTAACTGCTTTACAGCTCAAAAGTAGTTTATAGAACTTCTCGGATCTTCAGACCGTTTTCACACGGTGCGATATATTGCACAGATCATACAACATGGATATATTGCAACAATATTGCATTGCGCTTTTTATCCAAGCGTTAATAAAAATTATCGTATCGCATGTCTGAAAACTACACACTTGAACGCTTGTATTTAAACTGAAATTCAATATATTGCAGCAATAAATAAATTGCTGCAATATTGCATTGCAGTTTTTACACAAGAGTTAATAAAAATTAGTTTACCGCATAAGTGTGAAAACTACGCATTTGAACGTTTGTATTTTAACTGCAATGCAATATTGCAGCAATATATTGCACCATGTGAAAACGCTCTTAAGGAGACATAAAAATACAACAAATTGTGAAATTATCTCAAACAAATTATTTGACAATATAAAACTGTCTTTAGTTTCATTCTATTTAATTAATTTCCTTGCAAATTCATCATTTAATAACATTGTTTTAAAACTAATCAAAACATTCATCAAGTTATTGATATAAAATTGTATTGACATCAGCTAATTTAATAAATTGTAAGGTTGTAGAAATTAAAATACTTTGTAACATTGTAAATATGTACATCTACGTTTGAATATTGTGAATTTTTACATTAGTTTCTTAACTTTTGATTCGTAGGATTCAAATTGTGTTGTGTTAATTCAACCTTGAGAGATAAGTAATAATGAATTTAATCGCGCAAAAACAACATTACGTTTAGGAAGTTATATTAATGATTCATTGTTCAAATATCGATTTGATCGAATAATCAATGTGAAGGATACTGCGACATTGCAAACACATGCATACATATTTAAAAAATGATTGCTATCAATTATGCGTACGGCTCAAAGTGTACTACCCTCCTTTAACCCTACCCTAATATACATTTTATGAATTTTCAATGGCTCTTAAGATAAAAGGTAATTGATATGCTACATGAATAAGAAAACCTTCTAGGTTACTATTAAGTAAATATTATAGTACTAATTTTTTTTTTCGTAGGACAGATAGTAGTTGCAAGTTGTATAGTGGAAAATTTTAGTTTCTAGTTTCAATTCAAATATTTGTAGGTCCATAGAACAAATCAATATTTTCATTTATTCCATATTAGGGAGAGGTTTTCCATAAAACCAATACCTATTGATTTGAAAATTGCGTTTGTTTTAATTAAGTTCCTCCTAATCTCCTAAAAATATCCAGATGTTTGTAGTAATAAGTAGAGTTTAGTCGAAAATAAACAGGATGACTGCGCAAACGCAACAATTAGACAATGGAAAATTTGCTAAGCAGGAAAGAAAACGACATTTCGAAATTGGAAATGTGAACTAATAAATGGAGAGCCGCGGACAAATATTTCTAAATGGAGCCGGTTTTAGATTTTCCCAATTTATAAATCTCATTTTCCGGTTCAACATTTGAATTCCGACGCGTAAATTGACATTGTATTATTATTTAAGTTATAACAATGAAAACAAATAATTAATACATCTGTATACGAAAATCAAATTTTAACTTTCTTGAAACCCGTAGGTATATTGTTACGCGATTTTCAAATCCATGTATACATTGAGAAATATCCCACGCCCCGCTCATACCACACTATAAATTGAAATTTTGTATTTTTAGAGTGAAAAAATCTCCAGAGCTCGAATTCTATCCTAATAAAACGTACCTTTATTGCGATTGTTAAATTTAAAAACTTCTACACATTCAGAATCGATCCCATCTTTGATAACCGCATACAACAGATACCTATAGTGCACCAAAATCTTCTTCAACCCACAACATTCTTCTAAACGGCGATCAAATTTAATTAAATTGATCAAAGACGGAATATCAATGTGTATGTACTCGTAACCTAAACAATTTGTATACCTAAATTAATTTTAAAATATTCATTAGTACATGCAAATCGACAGAATTTCAGGTGCGATATTCTATCGTTGGTTTCAAAATTATTAATTTACAAGGAGTTTCCTCAAGTACGTATTAAACGTCGATCTTTGGGACAGTTAGAGGAAATTTCCACAAACCTAGAATTCTAAACTCGTCCAAACATAAGCTACTTTTCTAACAAGATATTCAGGAGAAAAATATTTCATTTTGAAACGATATAAAAATCGATTGGAGTTTTCCATTATTGGAGACTATTATAAAACGGTAACATTAGCAACTCGATTTGGAAATGTTAAATGAGGTTAATTTAATTTTAGAAATTTCACATTGAAAAGCTTATTTCACTCAAATTTCCGATTATTGCATATTTTTTGTAAAACTCAGGTATCGATAGAAATTTTACGGGACATAATAACTGTTGATTTGATGTACATACAGTAAATTTAGTTGCTTGTATCGATGCATTAAGAACTTTGTTAAAATCTTCTTTTAATTGTCATTTCGTAGCTTTCAAGGACATTGAATTTGTAAGGAATTGTTTTAGGATATGTTCCTAACAATAAATTCCTTTTTTAACCACTCAAAAATTGCCGATTTTCTATACGCACATAGGAAACGCCTTGTTAATTAATATTGCTTAATTCATAACTTTTCAGTTAGTAACGTGCTCAATGAATATGACATCTGATGTCACAAGCTAATTAACTAATTAAATTTTTTATGGAAAGGTACGCAATTTGTAGTTTCCTATCAATGACCACAAAGGTCAATTTCTCAGGCGTTAAACTAAACGTAATTTTGCTCAAACTACAATGAATCTCTTTAAAATAATAGATACTCTGTGCAACTTATATTAAGCTCTTTTAAATTTTGCAAAATTTCAATATTTTAACGTTAGGAAATTTTTTGAATTTCATTTTCTGTAAGGTTTATCGACATTCGCCAGGCAGTTCACACGTATTCGGTGCTTCCATAGACCTGCTTCACGTTCCAAAAGCTTCTTCGTATTCCATAAAAAAATAGTATGGCGCCAATCAAAAGCTGATGTGCCCCAAAATAAAATCAAGCGAGGTCCTAGTAAAAAGAATAACATAGGTGTTTTTACCTACGTTAAATCTATTTAAATTAACTGATACTGAAAAGCAGTATTTTATAAATTAATAATTTAAATGTCTCCTTCTCTTTAATTGTCAAGCATGTCATTTTGTCATGCTGTTATAACAGCACTTATTGCCCTAATTCTATATTAACTGTTCTACTTAATGGAAATTATCATACTTTAGAAATTTAACAAGAGTGTACAAAAGTCGACATGTCAAATATCACAGTTAAAATGTTCGTAAGGTGTAAAAATTATGTTTCAAAGAAAACAAAACTTCCGTAAGTTTGTGAATAGGGAAACATAAGAGGTCCACAAAACGACCCATCTGTACTGATAGAACTAACGTCGATAGAGATACCAGTACAAACCACGAATAAGCTAATTAGAATTACTAGTTAAGCACAGAAACTTAAATCGATTTAATGGAAAAATTGAAAGATCCACTTTTTCGACGAAATTGCCTAAAACATCGTTATTGTAAACCTCCCTATCGAATCACACCGTTTCTTAACATATCATGCAGTTCATTTTTTTTTTTCATTTTAAGAGGAAAAGGACCTTATGTATCCCATATACCTTTAATGTTATGAAAATGTTTTTATTTTTCTCAAAGTAAGTACAGTCGAAATTACATGATACACTTACCACACGAAGACCTACATAAAGGAGCTAAATCGAATAACTAATAGAGATCACAGCCAAATGCGACTTCTCAATAGTATTCCCGGATCACTAAGCACGTCAAATATTCAAAAATTTGGCACTGAGGTTATTAAAAAAACACGCACAATCTCCCCCTACCAAAGAGAATGCGCGTATTTTCTTTTTCGTTCGCGAACAGTAATCTAATAAGCGTTAGATTAAAATAAATAAAATAAAAAAGAGTAACCGTAATATCCTGCCATTTCCTTTTTTTGCACAGACAGCAAAGAAGAAAAACAGTCTCCCGCCGAATTAAGTAGGCGGCCGTTAAAATTTCTTCTGCTATCCGTCGAAACAGCCTGAAAAAATAAAAAAATATTAAAGTTTGGTAAATTGTAAACTTACGTTTTGGTTTGGGTGGTATTAATTTGATAGCGCCAGGCCTCTCCGGAATATCGATTTTGTCGATTTTAATCTTTTTCTCTAGAGGCGTAATGGACGATTCTCTCGGCGGCGATGGCCTCTTTAACGAAGCTACCGGTGGTAATGTTGGCGCTGGAGTGGTCTTTTTGACAGGGCGCGAAGGAGCTGGTTTGGCTTCTTCTTCCAGTCCCGTCGATCTCATACGGGCATTATATATTTTTACGGTTTTCGGCCTTTCTTCGCTATCTTTCCTTACTCCTATAGAGAATTTCTTTTTCGAATCCTTATCCGAATCCTTATCCGATTCCTTGGAATCGGAAGAACTCTTCTTGGGAATTCTTCCGAGTTTATCAATCGATAATTTGGGCTCGCCCAATATCTTGTCCTTATCTTTACTGGAACTAGAACTACTTTTGATGCTTCCGTTATTTTTATCTTTATCTCTACGTTTATCCTTATCTCTTTCTCTATCTTTACGATCTTTGTCTTTACTAGAACTGCTACTTTTGCTTGAACTACTACTTTTGCTTCTACTAGATGAACTACTTTTAGAACTACTGCTATATTTACGATGTTTATCTTTATCCCTATCTTTGCTTCTTTCTTTATCCCTACTACTTTTCGAACTCGAGCTAGAACTGGAGCTTCGAGAGCCTGATCTTTTATCGTTATCTTTTAATTTGGATTTTTCAGACACATCTTTCAATTCGCTGATTATATCATTGTCAGTTCCATTGGGGTCGCTTTTGTAAAACAAATTTGGATGGATCGAATCTGAATTAACTTCTACATTCTCCTTTTCCATTTTCTCTTCGTCACTTTTGGTCTGCTCCAACTTGTCTATTGTCTGTTGCATAATATTCGTCGATCCTTTAACTATCGTTAGCCATTGCTTGACTAATTGTGTCGATAATTCAGCAACGTCTGTAATAGAATAAAATTCGTGTTAGGGAAGTAACAAATAGTAACAATGATATGACAAATTGTAACTACTTTTCTTAATAAATTGATAAATTTCTCATTCCAATTGAAAATAAAAAGATAATGAAATAATTGAATTGCATTTTCTGATTACAGACATTGTAAAAGTAATACAAATAAACTTTTAAAAACTTGAAAAATAACTTTATAACATGGCTAGTTTTACTTTTTGGGGTGAATCTATGTGAATATGTGAATCTGTATTTGTAATGTATCTTACAAACATTATATTACAGTAGGTTTAAATATGAAACATACATCTAATTCACTTATACTTGAATATAACTAATTAAAACGATCAAGTACCAGTTATAAAAAGAATATTTGCTGTAAAAATTATCTCCCAAGTAAAATCTTAAAGGAGAAATAATCATGATATTTCAACGTTACAACTGAATGAAGTTAGGCAACAGCGATGTCTCCAATTTAATGGCAATAAATAAAAACGAAATAATTACCTTCTAAATCATCTCTTCGTGATAAACTTTTAATCAATTTCGGCAAAATATTTAATTTTAAGCGTTCAACGTCGACTGGCGTAACGAGTAACAAACCTAAAATCTCCTTAACTAAATGCCAATTGGCCGTTTGCACGGCATCCTGCAGCCAGGTTTGTATGAGCGTCCATCCACCTTCGGCCATGAACATATCAACTAAGTCTTTATTTGTATTCTTCAATATTAAAACATAAACGCACTTGCTGACTAATTTTTTTGAAAATTTAGTCATTAAACTGAAATTAAAAAGTACGTTTTTAATAATACCAAAACGATTACGGTAAGTACTTACTTGACTAGACGAGGAACTTCGTCGCGAGAAAAAATGCCGCCTTCCGGGGTAAGTAGGACAGAGAGGCACTTCAGCAATTGCAGTGGATCAATGCGAGGCTGAAAATAAAATGAGAGATTAATAGTTTATTCGTTTGGGAGATAAATTAATTAGATTGTGTTAGCATAATTTGTTAAAAAGAGAATCTAACAAATTTGTACCTTATAGATTATAAACCCTCAATGCATTTATTGTTTTAGAAAATACAGAACCATTAGAAGAATACAATTTACCTAACTCTGACAGTACTTAACTTGTCACATATGATAAATATATGACAATCTCACGTTTTAAAACTACAAAACTTTGATAAAAAGTAAAAAGTTTGTTTTAGAAAAAGTAATATTAAATATTGTTAAGCATAACTGTTGATAAAAATTCAAATTAAATTTAGACAAACTATTTTTGTTCATTAAAATAAAAAAATATGGTTCGTTTTCAAATAATAAATTAGTTTTTATTAGTTACTTCAACAGAATTTAAAACGTTTGAATAGTTTGGTTAACTTAGAAATTTTTAGGAATTGGAATTTATTAAAATTTCTCAAATATGTATATCAAAAAGCTGATTAATGAAAATTATGCCTACACTTCATATTATAGGAAATAAGATAACTTTTATTAAATCCTAACTTTATAAAGTTTCAACATTCCTAATTTTGTCGTAATTTCGTCCATTTCAAAACTAATGGGTACAAAATAAAAAAATTAACAAAATCGTAACAAACGTTGAATAAGGATCAACTTAACTCTTAATTAAATTAGAACCGATTTAATTGTAATTTCGCCCGAAACAGAACATGCAATACTCAAATTATTGTTTGAATTAATCAATTCTTGTTAAAAATGGAAATTGTTTAAAATATTACTATTAGGTAAATGTCAATTATGTCAAATAAGTTGTACCAACTATAAAAAACAAAAATGAATGTGGCACCATCTAGTGGCAAATAGTAAACATAAAACCTAATGACTCATTCATTTTTCAAAGAACTCGATGACTAATTTTTTAATTTATCGGAAAAATGGATCAGCAAAATGAACTCTTTGTATATTTCATGTACAAGCACTATGTAATGCGATACCACGCCTAATATAGAAATATATATCGACTTTCGTATTGCTCCATATGGTAGCGCATTGCGCAATCACCCCTTTAATTATTAAATAGATTAATCACATTAATAATGCTAATTTTTTACGAAACTATATTCATAATTTCGTATACACATAGAATACTACACATTCTGTTACAATTATAATCATATTGATAAAACTCTAGGTACCTATTAAAACATTATTATCAAAAACGGGCAAAAAAAATGTCCCAAATGCTTTTAAATAACTAAAAGCCAAATAAAATCAGAATATTCATATCAATTCTTATATAATTACAATAGTTGTTACAAACATTAACATATGCGTAATTAACTCATTCCTTACCATTTTGACAAATCCTGAATATCTGGGACGTTGCACTAACAAAGTCTTATATAATGAACGTTAAATAAAGTTCCTAATGGCCATAATTCCACGTTTCAAATCACGATTTAACTTCTAAAATGTGGCAGCCGATGACGGACAACGCCCTTGTCATCCATTGCTACATACAATATACATATTATAATTTTATTAAAAGCTTGTTATAAAACGGCGTTTGTTATAATTATAAATTATTTTCTATAATATTGGATAACACGAAATTATTAATTACTAAATTTTTCACGATAGAGTGTACCGCTGATCTTTAAAATACCCTTTCTACCTAACGAAAATACGAAATGGCGATTCAGCGAGACGACATTTACGCTTTAACAACGTATTGATTCTAAAATCTAAATGTAACAAGGATGAACGAATGAACGTTCAACATTGGCAATCATCTACGCGCCATACCGGATGTTACCGTTAAGCGCATGCGTCTGCCTTAAACAACAATGTATCAAAAAGAGATAGCATATAAAAAATTTAGATGCATAACGCATCTATTCGCCACGTAAAATAGATCGGAACTATTGCACCCAAAATTGAAATTAGTAATTACATCACTTTCCAATTAATAATTTCGTTGTATTGATAATTAATATTATAATACTAAAATAAAATTATTAAATTAGTTTACTTTAAAAGCACCTGAGCTCAAATAAATTATTAATTGAACGCGAAAAAACGCCTAACAGCTATTACGTGATTGGTTCAAATGTTCACGTACAAAAATCTAACCAATGAAAAACGAATTAAAAGCATCTGTAAATGAGCCTTGAAAAATAACGGATTTTCTAATGACATTGACATACGTCAGTCAGTTGTATTCATTGACGTTTTTAAATGTTGGAGTTTAAAAGTTCCTATATTAGTTTACATTTACTTTTTATTAGAACAATTACATGTTTTTACTTATAACGAAAAACAATGGCCATGTCTACACCCAGTGTTTCTAAAAACAAGTTTTTAATTACGGGAGCATTCGAAAAAACACCAAAATCTCAAAATTTTACTCCTAAAACGAACTATGTTACGCCTAAATCCAAAAAAATAGAAATGGTATCGTCGACGCCGGAGTGTTTTAGCTCTGTTCAAGTAGAGACGCCTCTGATTAAAAAACGAATCAGCAAAGAAAAATTCGATGAAGTTAGTAACCTAACGGTGGCTGTTAGAATTCGACCGATGAATTCCAGAGAGTTACTTCACGTGGGATCTGCTGATGTAGTTGGAGTTAGAGATAAAGAAATAATAATTAAATCCCATCCCGTAGGATCCAGTAACGTAAGCATCGACCATGTGTTCCAATATGACCAGATATTCTGGTCATGCGAAGAAAATCATTCGTTTTACTCTACACAGGAAGAAGTATTTTTGACTCTAGGCAAGCCTTTGCTTAACAGTGCTTTTAAGGGGTATAACGGCTGTCTTTTTGCTTACGGTCAAACTGGCTCTGGCAAAAGTTACAGCATGATGGGAAGAAATATGTGTGAAGTTGAAGATATTGACTGCCCAACTTTCTCTGGCATTACTCCAAGATTTTGTAGGGAATTATTTGAACAAATATCGAAGCTAGATAAAGGCTGTTTATGTACAGTAGAAGTCAGTTATTTCGAGATATATAACGAAAAAATTCATGATTTGTTATCCAACGCTAATAATTCAACAAAAACGCCATTAAAAGTTAGAGAACATCCTGAATGTGGCCCATACGTAGTAGGTTTAAACGTTGAAGTTGTTAAGACATACGAAGAACTGAGAAATTGTCTACTAATAGGTAACAGAAATAGAGCTACAGCGGCTACCACCATGAATGAAAAATCGTCGAGATCTCACAGCATTTTCTCCATAGAACTCTGTCTGTCGGACGAAAAGAATAGGGAAAATGCTAGCAGAAAAAGTAAAATTAGTTTAGTCGATTTGGCCGGTAGTGAACGATTAGGTAATTCCTGCAATAACGATGTGAAGATTCGTGAAGGTGTTTCGATCAACAAATCCTTACTCACCTTAGGAAAAGTGATATCCGCCTTGGCTGACCAGAAGAAGAATCAATTTGTACCTTACAGAGAGTCTGTATTAACTTGGTTACTCAGGGTAAGTAATTCGCTATATACACAAACTAATTTAACAGTAATGAAATATTTCTCTTTATTCGCAGGAAAGTCTAGGAGGTAATTCGCTTACTACAATGCTAGCAACAATAACCCCAGCCAACACCCATCTAGACGAAACTCTTGCAACGCTTAGATACGCTTGTCAAGCCAGGTCGATAGTAAATAGGGCTAGAATTAATGAAAATCCTCACGATCGCTTAATACGCGAATTACGTTCGGAAGTGGAAAGACTGAGAGCTCTACGTCAAGACTACGAACGTAATTCATTTTCCATATCATCTACATCCTCTTGCAACGAAAGTCATGAAGAAGAATTGGAGAGTTTGAGGGGCAAGTTGAAAGAAACGGAAGGGAAGCTGCACGAAGCGGAGAAGAGTTGGGAAATTAAGTTTCTTGAATCGAAAGAAACACAATTGAGAGAATTAGCCGAGGCTGAAAAATATAAAGCCGAGTTAGAATCCAAAGTGAGAATAATGAAAACGTTGGATAGCAACGTTACTTTATCACCGTTTAGATCAAATTTTCTCGAAGAATTAGAAGGTGTGCTCACTAACGAAGCAGACGGACTCGTTCATAATGATATAATAGAAGATTTGAAAAAGTGGTGTTGTCAGAATAGTTTAATTTGTACATTTACATCCGATACTCTCATTATAAAAGATCCTGTAAATTATAAACAAACGTCGGTTTCGTTGAATTCAGTAAATTTAAATGGATTTGAGAATATTAGTGACTTCATAAACAGTTTGAATTGGACTGAAAACAAGACGTTTGTTAAAAAAATTACAAAATCTGAAATCATGACGGCAATGAACAACATTTATCAATCTTTAGCGGTTTTGCAGCCCCCTGAACAAGAAAATAATTTGTGCTTGTTGTTCGCAAAGGTGAATAAAACTCTGCAGAGTTTTGAAGCCGCCCTCATGACTAACTTGAAAACTAATAAAAACCAAAAAGCCGTGACTTTCAGCGCGAGCGTTTTAGATTGATATTTCTGTAATAAAGCAGTGTTCGTTTGTACCTCCTTAAGCAATGTTTCAGTGTGGTAGTATTAAGTATTTATTTATTCTTGCCCCATTTATTTGACAAATGAAGACCTCGGCGCAAGAAGACGGCTACATTTTTCATAAATTTTTCTCTTCCCCCGATACACAGACTGTTACAGTTCCTTTCCTTTAATACCTTATGAAATATTAGTTGAAGCTGTCATGTTGAAGAAATCATTTTTACACACAGAGAAAATATTTTTCTTCTTGTTAATAAAAAATAGAAAACCTGCAAAAAGTGAAGCTGGGTCCTTCTTGCACCGAAGTTTTCAAATGTAATATTCATACCTTTTACTATTTTTTATAATAAAGTTTTATCTGCAAATGCAATTGTTCTCTTTCTCTGTAATGTAAAAAAAAACATGTTAGAATATAAGTTTAATTAGGTTACCAAACAATCTTAGAATATTTCACATCAAAGAAATTAAGTTTTAACAGTAGCTCAATAACTAATACAAAAAATTGACATTTTCCCAAAATATCTGAACAAGTGAATCATTATTTTTACAAAAAAAAAACTAATTACAATCAAAAATTACGTCCCTATCACAGATCGGCGTGTATGTTAGAATTTAGTCTTTGAATTCAGGAGAATCGCTTCGTTTGATGTACACTTCACCAAATTTACTCATGTATTTCCTTATAAACTCCCTGGCCTTCGTCTTAACATTATCAGTACAAGTTAAATCTTCAATCCTAGTCAAGTGTTTCATCTCTTTAAGCATCACAAAATGTGTTAGCTAAAATGAAAATAGTAAATTTGTATAAAGAGAAATTAAGCACAAGTTTTGATCCTACCTTTCTGGCTAAATGTTTAAAGTCTTGATTATTTGTTATTCTTCCTTCCATGCAATCTGGCTTTCTGTAAACGTTTAGAGAACCGACAACTGTAGACGCCATATTCGTCCTAAAGTTTTCTTTAATTTTTTTGGCAGCCTCGCTATTGAAATCCGGCTTTTCTTTCAGCTTCACTTTAACCAACCGCTTTTCTTTCACCTTCTTCATTTCGATATCCTTTAGTTGCTTTTTAGTCTGCATGAGAATCTTTTCTTTTTGCCGCTTTAATTTTTCTTTGTTCGCTTTATATCTCTTGAGATCTTCTTTAAACTGCTTCTTATCCTCCTCAGTTCTAGGCTGTATTAAAGAATTTTTAGTAAAATTTCTGTTTTCGTTGCACTTTACTTACGCTTATGATAATTTCTTCGCATAATCCCACCCTTCGTTTCTTCTTCGGCGGTTTATCGTCGTTAAACAAGTCCAGCTCTTTCAGTCTCATATCGATCGACGGCCTCATATCCATCGAATCTTCATCTCGCGGCAAAGCTTTCTGTTTTAACTCGTCCACGTTTATATCGACAATATCTTCCAGCTTCTCATCAGGACTTGGAGTTTTCGCGGGAATGTCATCGACAGTCTCGGGCAGCGTTTCGTCTGGCAGTGCTTTCGACATACTCGGTATACTGTCCATTTGCCTCCTTACTTCCAGCAATAATTTCGTGTCGTCGATATCATCGTCGCTATCGGAATTATCGGAACTGGAATCCGAACTTACCGTGCTGGATTCGGAGCTCGATTCCGATTCTGATACTGCAAATAGTAAATGCGGGTGAAGAGGTGTAAGTTTTTGTTTCATTTAACTTACGTTCCGGAGGCAGGGGAGGCGGTTCCCACTGGCTCTTCCTGATTTTGACGTGGTAATAATATGGTCGCCCGTATTTATCTTTGGCACATTTCCACTTGGGCGGTAGCTTGGCAGGAGGCGGAATGGGACCCATAAACTTGACTTGAGATGGATCATCTTGAATAATCTATGCAAAGATAAAATGAGACATGATATTAGAAAATGCGTTGAGCTTTACCTGAGGTAGCGGTGGAGTAGTCAACGGAATTTGAGCTTGTCCCGGATACATTTGGGAGACGCCTGGATTTGGAGCTATAGGAGGTAAATGTGCTTGGATGCCAGTTTGAGGCAAAGTTGGTATTTGCATAGGTAAATTATTCTGCATATTTATCGGACCCGGGTACTGGTAATTGGGTAATGATTTCTGTATATGCGGCAACTGCGTCATGTTCATGTGAGGAGCGGTTTGCGAATGGTAGATTCGCGGGTTCGACTGTAAAGGAACCGTTTGCCATTGACCTAATAAAATATTTAACATTAAACTAGAATAATAAACGTTACATTAATGCATCGTACCAATTTGTTGGTTCCAGATGTACTGGTAGCCTCTGCTGGGATCAAATGGCGCTGTGAATCTAGGATCGGCTCCAATCAACATACAATTCATTTCGTGTTGTCTCCACATTTCCCTTTGCTTCAGTTTCCTCTCTTCTTCTTTCAACTCGTGCTGCAAAGCAAATAATTTTCGTCGTTCCACTTTGCTTAATCTCAGAAATTCCGCGCTCGGTTTGTCGCCTAATTTAGGTCTTCTGTTGGAATCCCTTTCTACTTTACTTTTTGTTAGTCCTCTGTATCTATCAATTTTCCTGTAATCCTCACTTTCGTAGGTGTTCTGTTTTGTTTGCATGAATTTCTTGTTGGCTTCCCTTTCGTGCTCCTTCATTTGCTCGATTCTCTCCTTTTTGGGAATCCTAAACACCTCTTTCAAGTTCTTCCATTCTTCCAGGAGTTTCGATGCTAAAAATCTAATTTCTTCTTCTTGATCTTCGGCGCTTTTTTCTGAAGATTCTTCCTTAATAGTCTCCTTACAATCTGTTGAATCTGTTGGTTTAAGCGTCGTGTCAGCGTCTTTAGGGGAATTGCTTTCTGAATCATCAGGGGAAGTTGAGTTCTTATTGGAAGCCCATTTTTCTACAGTGGATAACACTTTGCTGTCTTGGAGCATTGTTTTATTGGGTATTGGTAAAACTGCTAAGGTTTGCAGCATTTCCAAACTACAAATAGACATTTATTTAGTTTTTTAAAAATGAAAATCTGCAAAGGTTTACAAGTATAAATTACATACCGTACGGATTCAAATTTCTTGTTTGTATGAACCAATTGTTGAGCGTCTATCATATAACCATGCATCAATCTCAGACCATGATAGTCCAAGAAAAGTCTTCTACAAGGTAATTCTCCACGTCGAAGAACTCGTAGTAACTTGGCCCTTTGTTGTGGTTCTTTAGCTCTGACCATCAACCTACTGAGTTTCAGAGTATGAGCTTGGTTCTTCAATCCAGTGGTGACTAGCATATCTATTTCTTCGTTCAATTGCTGAAAAATATTTAATGATGTAATTTTTTTAATAATCACGTGAAATAGGCTTACATCTATTTCTTCAAACATTTCAATTCTAGGTTTCTTCTTTTGTACTCTCCTCTTAATTGGACTAGATTTCGGTTGTGCAGTGTCATTTTCAACTTGCGAAGAAGTCTCGTCAGCGTCTTTGTCTCCTTTAATGTCCTTTTTAAGGTCATCTTTGGAATCTGTCGACATGAAATGGTATTGAACAAAATTTCAAAAGTGGTTTCAAAAGAATCACCTCCAAATTCTGAAGAAACCGCGTCACTTTCGTGCTTTTGTAACGCAGCACTCGATTTACCGTCTTCTTCCTCTTCTTCTTCCTCCTCTTCCTCTTCATCATCGGAATCTGGTTGCTCACCTAACCAACCCCGGCAAATGCTCGCTCCGCAATAACATTTTTGAGCTTCTTTGCTGTAATTTAATTCATGCAATAAAAAGGCGCGGGTTTTATCAGTTTTACTCACCCGTAACGTTGAAATCTGTAATCAAAGGTAATTTCTTCGCCAGCCAATATCGTTCTCGTACTGAAAAATCCTATTCTAAGCTCTCCATTAACGGTCCACTTTTGCGTCTCGGCGTTTGGATCGCACGAATGATTTATAAATCTGGATATGTTTCCTAATAAAAAAATATTGCAGAAACTGTTTGAGCTGCATTAATAAATCGTTACCTTTCATGGTGGCATCGATAACAGCATCAGCTCTCAAAGCCATGAAATAGTAATGGATATTTTGATCTTGCGAATAACCCTCGGCCCTCTTTTCAAACTCGTCGATATTCAGCACTTCTCCGACGTACTCCAATATGAATTCGCCGCTAAAAACAATTCAAAATCATTTATTGACCTCAAACAAAACAAATTCAATCTCACAATGGAATATTCGCGGCGGCTCTCAGCCCTAAACCCTTCTTTTCGGTGTTGAAAACTTCCACAGGAGCGAACAGGTTCTTCTGAAAACGTTTGTTGGTGCATCTATCGCCCACCGTGCACAGATTTCCACTGAAATAAAATTAAATAGAGCAACTTGTATGAGAGAAATTTACACTTATACTGGACACAATACAGGGTGTTAATTAATTGAGTGCCGATACTTCAGGATTTGAAAATTTGGATGATTTTAAGATGAAAAGTTCATATCAAAATATGCCCTAAACCTCTTGGTTTTCGAAGTACATAAATTTCATAACATATCTAAAGTAATAAGAAAATTATGATAGAAAAGATTTTTTTAAATTAACACCCTGTATAATGATTATCCTTAACTCACCATTCTATTAACAAGAGTCTGTTAAGACATTCCTCCCCACACCCGTAATCATTATTATCTAGCTCTTCTTGGGTCAAAAAACAGTCGCATAGCATCTTTTTCGCCTCTTTACACCCCGATCTGTCCGTTTTGTACAAGTTTTCCTTCAAATGCACAAACTGCTTCAGTCTGGCCTCTACGATAGGATCTTTGGCGCGCTGCTTGGAGTTGAATTCGTTCTTGAAGGGCATCACCACTTGATTGTCGGTTTTAAGGGGCGTGAGCGATGGGGATTCGGGCGCTCCGTTACCCACTTTTGATTTGCGCTCTTTGCTGGTGACTTTCGGGGAAGCTGTTGGAGTGCTCTTATCGGATTCTGTCAAGAAGGAATTGCTGTCCGATATATCGCTGTCGTTGAGCGAGGTTTCTGACTTGGATTTCACCAGGCCCCAACCGGAGGTTTTCTTGTTCATTACGTTGATGTGTTTTATTCTGGAGGATCTTCGTATTTCCTCGCCCTCGGTGTCGGTTTTGCTTATGCCTTGCAGGGCTTCTTCGAATTTGGTGAGTTTTTTGTCGGATTTTTTTGGATCCGGTTTGTCTTGCTCTTTGGAGTTGTCTTTGGGCTTTTTGGGTTTTTCGCTCGTGGTGGATTTCTTGGTTTTCGGTTCTCTAGGTTTCCTTTCCTTTTTCGTTCTGAAGGTTGGAAGTTTTGATGGTTTCGAAGGTTTAGTTTTAGGTTGCCTATTAGGAACTTTATTGTCTTTATCGAGTTTTGGTGGTGACTTCGGTACTTTAGCTTCATTGGATGTCTTTTTAATAGACCTTTCTTTCTTCTTTTGGGATTTTTTAGGTTTGTCTTGTGTGTCTAATTTAAGTTCAAGGGTAGAGTCTGCTTTTTCTTGTGTAGTTCCAGATATTAATGTTGTGTCGACTGATTTTCCTGCTAAATTCATTTCTGCTACTTTATTTTCTAAATGTTCGTATATCTCCTCTTTTTCTTCTTTTGTCAGCATGGAAAAGTTCATCGGAGCATCAGAAATCATTTCTTCTACTTTTTCCTTATTATCTTCAGGAACAATTGTGTCTTCTTTGCACTGATTTACATCTTCAGATTCACATTCCATTTTTTCTGGTGTATCTTTTACTATTATAGAGGGTTCCTTATCAGGTAATACATTTTCTAATTCATCTAACTGAACACTTTCTTTATTTTCAACTATTGCGGTTTCGGAACAATCCATTTCTTCACTTTGTACAGGCAACTTTTCTTCTTCAAGTTGATCATCGACAGGTTTATATTCAACAACTTGAGGAGTATCAGGAATTTCCTGCTCGCTTTTCTCTTCAATGACCTCTTCTTGCAAAACGGTATTTTCTTGCTCACATTCGACAGTTTGTTCGTTTTCTTGGGATTCCACTATTAGAATATCATCAGCGAAAGGAACTGAAGCATTTTCTTCGATTATAACTTCCTCCATCTGAATACCACCGCTCAATGAAGTAGAGTTTTCATCTTTGGGAGATTCGATATTTACATCTCTAGACAGACTGTCTTCTTCACTTACTTTGAAGTCATCTGTAAAATTAAATTAGTATTTTTTAGAGAAATTTGCTGCGATTTAACATACCTTTATCGTTCGTACTATTATCGTATTCCTCGATAGTTTGGGATGAAGTGACCTCTGAAAATCGAATGAAAAAAAAAAAGTTATCTTAATGGGAAACATATCTACTTTGATTGTTTATAATGCCTTGTACAAACACAAAATCTATTTACCTTCAGTTTTCTCTAATTGAACATCTTCTTCTTCTAATCCCTCTGATAGCATTAGCTCCATTTGTTTATTTTCAGATAATTCGCATTTATTTTTATCGTAATCAGAAGATTGATTGTTAGTGGTAATTGAAGATGTCTGAGTACTTTGCGTAGGAACGTTGTCTGTTGAATCGTCATCCTCCTCATCATCCCAGTCTTGCAATATCTCCAACAGAGCTCTGTTATCTTTTTCCACTCCACCTTGTTTTACTTTCGAAGTTTGCGGTGAGGAATTGACGAGAGTATCAAAAGAACATTTAATTTGCTCGGTGAATTCTTCAGCGTGTTCTGCATTTGCCGCGTCCTTTGTGCTGGCCAAATTTTCAGGACTTGCACCGGATTTATTCTTGGGAATCGCCTTGGGTTTGGGTATATCAATATTTACAACACTTTGCCTTCTAGTTGACCTGGTAGATACGGTTCCTACTACGTGAACAGCGACTTTCTTCTTCCTCTTGGGGGGCATTTTTGTACGCAGATTTTATATTGCTGGTGGAATTTTACATAAATTAAATTAACCTATCTACAGCTCTGTAAATAACATTTTCTGAAACAAATATTACGAGTACTTTTGATAAATACTCTCAATTCTACGTGTTGAGATAGTTCACATTCTCATTGAACTATATTTTATACTTAATTTGGAAACTAATATCCCATTATCTCATTCAATTGACGTTTGAATATTGTTAAAATTAAAAAGTTATAAGAATGAAAGGCAAGAATGGAGTTGGAAGTAAATTGGATCAGAAACGTGAAAAAGAGGTGCATTATTTTGTCACTATTGTCAATGTCATCTATTTGTGACCAATGGTAGTTGTCGTTATCAATTCAATTAATACAACTACATATTTTTATAATATTTACTTAATTTTGCGATTATTTGTTTTTGAATTGCTTCATTTTTTCAGCTAAATAATAAAATTATTAGTAACATATTAACTGATTTATTATCTAAACAGAGGCCATAAAATTATCATAAAATCAAAAACTCCCTCTGGTGATTAAAAAGCAAACTAGCCAACTTTTATTAGTGCACGAGAACTCTTGTAGGTGGCGATAGTTCCGCGCGTCGTTCGAGGACTAGGCTGAGAGTTACATAGGCTTCGTGAAGGCAGGGTAACGTCAGCTTTGCGCAGTGGCGATATCGTAACCAATGAGGTTTATCCGAGGTGCGATTATTGCTAGTTGAAAACTTTAACCAATACCCCGCCAAGTGCACGTGAAATACCGTGCGCTACGGCAATTTTTGCAAACCTCTGCGGAGGTTGATGAAATAATTAAAACATAAATAATATATCCAACCATTCAATACACTTTAACCTTTCCAATCATAAAAGGTGATGGGAATCGTCTATTGAATGGATAAAATAAGGTGGTTAGGTGATAGTAGGTTGCAATAGTGGAAGGAAAATGTACACTATTCACTGATTTGGGATTTCAATGGTGCCTTGCCTTGAATTTTTTGGACTTTCATATAAAGTAACAAAGATAATGTAGTTTTTAGTTAATGGAGAAAATGAGGGATGGGGGTCTTCTTTTACATGTATCAAATTGTACATTTTTTGAGGCTATAAATAATGCATTTTATCTCAATAGAAACAGCAGTATAATGATTAAGTCAGGTGTAATATGGCACATATGGCCGATTTGAGCATTTTCTTTTAAATTTGAACCGAATAACAAATACATAAATTTGGAAACAACACATGTTATCAGTGTTTACAACCACTCGATGTGTATTATAGAACATCCTTGATACAACTCTAATAAAAACGAAATAACTTGGTTAAAAATAACCCGAAAATCAATCAATGATACCCCAGCAAACACAAAACCCGTTCGTCTAATCGACGACGCCACTAAAAATATTAGTGCACCTACATAGGATACAACGTTAATGAAACAGAAAGAAGGAAATAGTATTAATTATAGAGATACAAAAGAAATCCTCTCCCGTCGGTGACGTCGGAGCATATTTGTTTCGTTTTGTATACAAACACGAAATATAAAATTAAAAAGGAAAAATAAAAGAAAACCCATTTGACAACCGGACGCTCCCGAACTATTAATCTACTAAATTTAAACTCCGAGAGTCAAGTCATCGCATCGGGACGCGGCGCTGCGCTTCGCGCCGCTCGCTTTTAGCACATACTCCTAAAATATACATTAGTTCATTATTTTAACCTCGTCAGTGATACACTTTCTTTTCGGTCCGAAATCGCCCATCGGTAAGTTTTTTTCCTTCATTTAAACCTCCAGTTTACCTACCACCAACTAAACCGATCTGGCTCTTTGTTCTGGACTCCACAAAGAGGCACATTTCGTTTATTTATAGAAATTTGACACGTGTTATTAAACAAGGGCTGCTCGAAATAACTATTTTTTATGGTTTATCTTCAGGTATTACTGTAGTTGATTTTTGATGAGTTGATTAGTGATGTTTATTAATTGCATGGAGTTAAAAGTTGGAATACACTTACATAAGGTAGGTTAGTAAGAAGAGTTTAGTTTATTTCAAAGATATCCTTCATGTATTGTATAAGAGAAAATTAAATATTAGGTACCTAATTTCATTCATCTACTATCATTCAATTAATTTTACGATGTATCATAGTAAAATTCAGATATCTACCACCTTGTGACAACATAAAGAAATTGATGATTAAAAAATCAATGTATGTAAGGTAATTTTTTGTAATATTATTGTTTGCAGATCAACATGGGTACGACTCCTTTCCGCCCCCAAGGAACATGATCACGAAAAAGCATGAGTTTCAAGGAACGACCCCCCGACACAAATCCACAAACAATTGGCTGTGATCCAAATACGAACTCCACGAAACGCAACAGCGGCCTGTTCGCCTTCTGGAAATGGTTCAAGCCATCAACATCGCGCGAATCCATAGACGCGGACCTACAAGTATCGCGTTCGAGTAGCTGCGACAGCTTGAATTCCTCGCACAGTGCCGGTACGGTGGCGTCGTTCTCCTTTATCGCTCCCGGTGATTACAAAAGTTCCGTGTCCGAAAAGTGCATCGCCCCCGGCCCCGAGACCGACACGTACAAGGCCAGGCTGAAGCAGCGCGACAGGACGCGCGAGAAGGACAAGAACCTGACGCTCCGGAAGAAGTACAATCTCTTCTTCAACAGGGACTTCTCGCTGCGGTCGAAGCACAAGCCGGCCGAGGTCGAGAACTCCAAGAGCCTGCCGCTGATGCCGCGCGGCGCCATCGAGGAGACCATGGAGGAGACGAAGGTGCACCGGCGGACGAACAGCGAGAGTTCGAAGATCCGCAAAGCGGGCGCCTACGTGCACGTGAAGGGCAAGCGGAAAGCGCCCCAGCCGCCCGGCCATCAAGCCCATCAGGACGATCCGAGGACCAACAGCTTGAAGAGGAAGAAGCGCTTGGCCCCGCCGCCTCCGACCATCGTCGAAGACGGGGTGAACGCGGCCGATGAGGCGGGCGTTATTTGTAACGATTCGTTAAAATTAGATCACGGCGTATTGAAACCCGTCAAAGAATCGGACAAACCTACTACGGATCAAAATAGCGCGACGAACTCCCCCACCGCCGCAAGGTCGGCCGCTGTTGACGCTCCCGTCTCTCCTAGAGCGTGGTACAAGAGGAACATGCCGGACAAAACGAAAAAGGACAAAGTCGAAAATAAATACGAGCCGATCGAGCGCCTTCCCGAAGTTCCGTTCTCCAGAAATTCCTCTCTTGATTTAACCTTAGATGATGTAAAAATAGAAAGGAAAAAGGAGGAGAAACGAAAATCCGGCATGACTTTCCTCACGAACATCAGCGAGCTAGACAGAGAAGCGCACGAAATAGTTAAAAACAAGTCGGCCGATTATCAAGAGATGCCCGAATTCATGCGCCCCAAAAACGCCAAAGGCGAAACCGAAGAATGGGTCTCGCCCAAACGACGCTCCGCCAAAGACCTAATAGCCAAATTCAACGCCATAGCGAGTGTTAGAAAAGTCAACGTGTTCGGCTCCAACAAAGACAAACTATTAGAGAAACAAATCAGTTTGGACGAGACGCGACGAAGACAGGAAATGATACTGGAAAACCACAAGAAACGTCTGGAAGAAATCGACAGCAAGAAAAACCTGCCGCTCATGAAATCCGAAAGCGCCAACGCGATCAAACCGAAACCAGAAGCGCAGAAGAGCTGGTCCTGTCCGGACTGCAACATCACCAACGACTACTGGAGGATCATCTGTCGCGTCTGCTCGAAGATTAAGCCCGACTTCGACGATTTCTCGGCGTCGCCGAAGCCCGAGCGGAAGGACCTCGCGCCGCTCAAGAAGGCCGAAATAAACTTCGAACGCTCCAAAACCCAAATTGGATTCTCGGCGTTGCTCAACTACAATCACAGCAAACTCAAGGCGAGCGGCTCCACTGAAAAAGTCGACCAAGACAGCAAGCGCGAGGAAAAGGAGAAGCTGAAGAAAATGCTCATCGAAATGAAAAACTCGTTGCCGAAGCGCCAGGTGAATCAAGCGCAAAGGAAAACCAACACTTCGAGCGTAATAATAGAAAACCCCGAAGACGCGATTAAGGACGACGACGAAGCAGTCAAGGAGAAAACGCAGGAAGAAAAAGTGGCCGAAATCCTCATAGGAACCACCACTACGGTGTACGAAAATATAAAAGTGAAGAAAACCGACAATCCTAGACCATTAAAAGTGTCCACATCAGCCCAAACAACGGCGGCGGTTCGCCAGCAACTTCCTCCTTCAACCATATCTAACTTGGTCGCAGACCAGCGCAACAAAGCCGATTACCAGCTGATGCAGGCCAAGGACTTCGAGAACATTTACTCCCAATCCAGCCAATCTGCAGCGAAAATGTACGCGAATTTGGTGCGCAGCGACGAGCTGTCGTTGTTCTTCAACATACCGAAGGAGGCACCCAAGAAAGACGAGAAGTGCTCCAGGAACCTGACCAGGACCGATAGCTTGCAGATCAACAGGCTATTGAAGAAACTGGAGCTGGCGATTTCTAAGGGGGAATTGACCGAGTCGTCGAATATCGCCAGGGAGCTGGCCTTGTTGAAAGTCAATTGCTCGGTGGTCAGGCACAAAACGTTAGCTTCGAGGGAGAAATCGAAGAAAATACAGTAAGTTGATTTTTATGCGCATTTACTTGCTCATTCACTTGATCATTTATGAATGAATTTTTGAAAAAAATAATAGATAAAAGTCTACCTATTCCTCTATTCCTACTTACCTAAATTAAAAATCTAAAAATAATTTTTGTATACTTTTTAAATTGGTCTGCATAAAAGTGTATTGAACTGTGGTTTATTATTATACCTCGAATTTTGCTATGAAATCGGACATTTGCAAATACACCTACCGTTTATTTCGAAAAACTATTTGATTTATTCAGTTTCGGATTCGTTCATAATACGCAATTTAAGTCAAACAAGAATTATTTATTGGTAATAGAATTTACACTACAGTGTATTTTTATTTTCAAACACGTTAACGCTTGTATTTAGACGTTTTATGGGCAAATAACTAGTGTTGAAAAAAAGTCATCAAATTGGGCATGGGTTTTATTAAAAAAATCAGTTAAAATCCTCATTAAAAGGGCATTAAACGCATTTAAATGGAAATATCTTGAATTCTCACTCGTTCCAATTTTCTAGAATAGAAATGTACGTAGAGGACAAAATCTCCCATAGAGGCCCCTTTCCAGTGGAAGTATCACCGGAGCAGACGTTAGCGCGACTAAAGGACCAGGTGGAGAAGGAATTTGAAATACCCAAGGCCTTCCAACGCTGGATCCTCGGCAAAGACCTAGTAACAGACGATAATTCGAAACTGAAAGACTTCGGTATAACCAGAGACGATTGCCCGGTTTTCTTGTATTTAGTGGCCCCAGGTACGTTTAAAGTTCCTTAAGTCCATCGCGATACCTAAACAAATAAAAAGGACGTTGATCTGAAGGTTAACGCTTACTCATAAACAACAATTTTACAATTGAGACGATTTTTATGATTAAATTACGACTATTGCAAATGCTTTAATCGAAATTATATGCGCTAATTGCTATTTATTTAGCCGTTAAGTTGAATGAATGCTAATCCGCAGAGTTTGGCTTGGCATTCGAATAAACTCATTATTAGTAATTTTAGCATGCGGTTTATTTATATTGTAATTGCGAAGAAATTATATGTAGAATGATTGGGAAACCGAAATAGAAAATTGAGGAAGGTCATAAAATCTTAATGATCTTATTAATTATTGTTTTTCACATTTTTTTCTTCTGATTTTAGAAGCTAGTGAAGCCGCAAAGAAACCTTCCATTGACGTCAGAAATATGCCCTCTACATCCAAACAAAATATCGGTGCCAGTATAATAGATACGACTTTTAAATTGGAATCAAATTCTTCACCGATAAATAAGGAAGCTAGCGAGCCTAAATTGGAGTATAAACCTCCCAAGATATCAAATCCCTTCAAAGACAAATTGGAACCTAAATTTAGCCAAGTAATTTGCAGTAATCGAACGCCTAAAATCGTTAATGTAATACCTAAATCCACCGAATTGGCATCAAAACCAGAAGACAATGAAGAAAATACCAAGAACAAAGAAGAACTTCCTCCGCTTAAGAACGAAGCCTCTTCATCAAAAACCGAAATCACTAAATTTAAAAAAGAACGCACTCCTACAAGAGTCGAAATAAAGCAAGTCCAGCAATCCTCGAGACCTATGGAAGTGTTAAAGGTAGAAATAAAATCAACACAAGTGCCTGCAACAGTAATAGAAACCGTGAAAGTAGAAGTAGAAGCTAACGACTCGAAATCGATTCTGATTCCAATCACAATCGAAAATGATCTCAATCCCACAGCTACCTCTTCGGGATCCCCGAAACTGCTAAAATCTAAAGCAGAACCACCGAAACCACAAGTGGCACCGCTGGATCCCAGCCTGGAAGTGAAGCCGATTGTCCAGCAAGTATTTCCCACAATCAACCAACCGAAATCTGGGGATTTAAAGGTTCCCCCGAAAGCCAAAGAAGAGGAGGATTTCTCCGATTACGAGTCGAGAACCCTGAAGCCTCTAAAAGAATGGGAATGCCACTTGTGCACTCTACTCAATCCCGTAAGCAGTAACGTTTGCGCCGTTTGCTCGACGGTTAGAGTAAGAACGAAAGTTGAAGTCAAGACCGAGGAAGCAGCTTCGACGGAAGCGCAAACTTACTACCAGCTATTGAATTTAGATAATACCGATTTAATAGAAAACGTGGAACCGTTTACTTGCTTGGTTTGTTTCGCTGAAATTCCGGCTAAAGAAGGCGTCACGCTCAGGGAGTGCTTGCATCAATTCTGCAAGCCTTGCCTGTCGCAAACCGTAGAGTTTTCGGACGAGGCGGAGGTCAGGTGCCCGTACAGAGACGAGAATTACGCCTGCAATATCAGCCTGCAAGACAGGGAAATAAAGGCGCTAGTTTCTGCTGGAGTTTACGAGCAACATTTGGCCAAATCCGTGGCGCAAGCTGAGAACAAAATAGACAATTCCTTTCATTGCAAGACGCCGGATTGTAAGGGCTGGTGCGTTTACGAGGACAACGTTAACGAGTTCAAGTGTCCCGTATGCAAAAAGACGAATTGTTTAACATGTCAGGTGAGTAAATACACACATTTATTGTATCACATATTATACTTGATTGTTTTATTAGGCAATCCATACCGGACTGAACTGCAGGCAATTCCAGGAGAGGATCAAGGACGACGCCAATTTGGACGAAGACGGGAAGAAGACGAAAGCCATGTTGGAGGAGATGGTGCAGAAAGGAGAGGCCATCGAGTGCCCGACTTGCCGGGTGATTTTGATGAAGAAATGGGGTTGCGATTGGTTGAGATGTTCGATGTGTAAAACGGAAATTTGTTGGGTGACGAGAGGGCCGAGATGGGGCCCTTTCGGCAAGGGCGACACGTCCGGGGGCTGCCAATGCGGCGTTAACGGAGTCAAGTGCCATCCGAAATGTAATTATTGCCATTAAAACAATCTAGTTTATGAAATGTGTAAGATCTCATTAAGCGACGTTTTATAGGAAATTATCTACTCGAATTTAGACTATGTTTTTGTAAACTGGATTGTAAATTTTTCCTTTTTGATACCTCAAAGAGGCTTATTATAATCAGCTTTTCTGCCAAAGGTTCTAAAGAAAATGAACTGAACGATGTAAATGATACGATTATGTGATTAATTAGCAGTGAAATATGTAATAATTTTAAGTTTCTGACTATGAAAGTGTTCAAGAACGTTTATAAAATGAATTAATTTAATAAAATGTTTTCATTAATTCCTAAAGATTATTTAATATTATTTTTTTTGCTTTTTATCTCCAATAATTAGATAATCACCATCAATTAAAATACAGCTAGAACTAATTCTATATTAACTACTTTATTCTATCAGTTTCAAATAAAAATACATATCCTTATAATAAAATAAAACATGAATGATTCCTTTTAAACAATCAAGTTTAATTGGTCTAGAGAATAAAAAAAATCAAAGAATACAAGATATCGACTTTAGCATTAAATGAAATTTGAAAAAAGAACATCTCGAATAATTGCAAGTAATATTATACCAAAATTATTCAGTTAATTCACACAACAATCACGAATCATCTCAATCCAACTCTAAATTAAACTTATCAAAAATAAAGTCTTAGAGGTACACTTAATAAGGCCTTGGCGGTCCGGGCGGGCCACCTCTCATCATACCGGGCGGGGGACCCCTCATACCCATCGGAGGCGGTCCACCGCGCCCCATGCCCATTTGCGGCGGCATGCCCATCATTCCGGGCGGAGGCCCCATCATACCAGGCGGAGGGCCACCCATCCTCGGAGGCGCTTGGTTCATTTGTGGCGGCGCCGAAACCTGTCCTCTACCCGTAGGCGTCATTACTTGCTGGGATGGTCCTCCGACTCCTCTCACGGGACCTTGCAGACCTACTGGGACTCCAGCCATACCCGGTGGCATTCCCCTACCTGCTGCTCTTCCGATACCTGTAAATTCAAAGCAATATTTAAAAACAAATATATGGTATAATTTTATGTTATGTGTAAATCGTTCAGTTAGTTTCGTTTATAAATTTTATATTGAATTGTGTTTTACCTGGTCCTTGGGCTGCTCCGGGAATAGGCACCCGAGGAAGTCCCTCTTCTGGTGGTGGAGGCCCTTCTACAGTTAGTGAGACTATGCTCTCGCCTCTGAGCAGTACAAATCCTAATACCCGTTTCTCTTCTCGTTCGACTTTCGAGTTTTTGGGTTTAATTTTACGGAATTCTTCGCAGTCGCCGAGTATCATGTTCATATGCTTGTCGAAAGCTTTAAAGGTGCCGATAAACGTCCTAGAGTCCTGCAGTGTTATTCGGACCCTATAGTTTATGTGTTGGATCATTTTATTATTCTTTCCTATCGTCTGAAAATAAAGGGGATTTGAAAATGTATAATTACGTGGGAAGCATTGTTTGTAATGTACTTACCATTTTGAAGGAGTTATTCCACTAGATTTTGATAAATAAAAACGATATAGTTACGTTAAAGTGGAAACATAACCAAAAAACGAACGCTACCGCTACCCGGTTATTTTTAATGTTGGCTAGTCTGTTTGCCTGTTTTTCTCTTTTTGTAATAGGCATATTTTAGCGTGTGCTAAAATAACAATTATTAGAAATAACTAGTTTATATGATAATGAAATTGTAATTTTAACCTTCCTGCTAATTATAAAAAGAATATTTGATATTTTTAAATGAATATTCTTGTATAAAAATTAGAAACGTGCGGTTTTAGTAAAATTTTAATTAAACAGTTGGTATTAAAAATGTCAGTTGTCATAAGTTACTGATATATCCGGCTGTCAACGTCACCGTTCTTTTCGGTTGTAGTGGAAGCATGACAGGTTTTAGTGAAAAAGTAAGCAATATTTTATGCACTTTTCCACATATTTTCCCATTATATATCATTAAACTTTCTCGCAGTTTAATGCTCTCACCCTTCCTAATAAATTTCCCCTGTTAGCAATGCTTCACAAACAATATTTTCCCATCGGTATTTTTACACGTGTTTACTCATCCACATCTCTTTTCAGGCCATCCTGATTGATGGCAAAGGCCATTTATTGGGCCGATTGGCCGCAATCGTTGCGAAGACCCTTCTGCAAGGAAACAAAGTCACAGTCGTAAGATGTGAGCAGTTAAACATTTCTGGCAACTTTTGCAGGTTAGTTTCCTTCAAGCACGGCTCATTTGAAGATTTTTAACCCTTTTTATTTCCAGAAATAAGTTAAAATACATGTCATTCCTCCGCAAGAGATGTAATATCAACCCGGCTCGCGGGCCCTTCCACTTCAGGGCTCCCTCCAGGATCTTCTGGAAGACAGTAAGAGGTTAGTTGTACAAACAGTTTTAGTCACATGTAAGCTATATCTGTTGTTTATGATTAGAAATACCTTACCTACATTGATACACTGTGATATTAAGATTTATAAATGATTGATGTAGCGATGCTATAACTTATTTTTTGTAAAAATGTGTATATTTATTGTTGGTTTATTATAGGAATGCTGCCACACAAAACTGAACGAGGAAAACAAGCTCTACGTAGGTTAAAGTCATACGAAGGTATTCCACCTCCGTATGACCGCAGGAAACGCGTTGTTGTTCCTGGAGCCCTGAGAGTTATTTGCCTTAAACCCGGACGTAAAGTAAGTATTGAATACCATTAAGAATCAGAGAAGATTATATTATGTATCTTTATTTGAAAACAAGACAAGTTGGCTGAATGTATGCTTCATCAAAGATCAATCAACTTAACTCGAGCCACTTTGTACATGATTATTAACTTTTTTACCTACATTATTTGAAATGTAATGATATAACACATTTTAATGAGCAAAATTAATACACTGTAGTAATTCACCTGTGCACTGGAGCATATTAAACAAATTTATTTTTAATTTCAGTACTGTCACGTTGGCCGTCTGTCCCACGAAGTCGGATGGAAATACCAATCGGTTGTTCGTACGTTGGAGAGCAAACGTAAGGTTAAGGCTGTTTTGGCTATTCGTAAACGTGACAAACTCAAGAAGCTCACGAAGAAGGCGACTGAGAAGGTTGCCAAGCATACCGCACCTTTCACAAGTCTTATTAATTCATACGGTTATAATTAAAGTGTTTAATAATAAATGACTTAATATTATAACTGAAGATGTTTTTTGTGATTCGGATTGAACAAGAATGGATATTTTATAGTCGTTTTTTTTGTATTTAATTTCATTTATTAATTAATAGAAGTATTAAAAATAAGCAAGAGTCAATAAGATTGGCAAAATTATTACTCTTAAAGCCGGCGGTGGTAAATTCGGCGCAGAAATATACAGGGTTCATAAAATGGGCCGAGATATTTTTGAGGGTGCTTCCTTGTTAAAAAATAATTCTTAACTTAAGAAGTTTCTATAAACTTGATTAGTCTCTTAAAAAATTATTGATTCTGATGAAATTTGGCAATGTTATTTTTTGCATTAAGAGACTATTTTAGTCCTATACAGGGTGTTTTTAATAACATGCTAATAATGAAGCGAGTGTTTCTTGGTCCCATTTTATGAGAAACACTTCATTAAAAAAAAAAATAAAGTTACAAAAAAGACAGTGGCGTACATTTTTTGTCAATAACATTCGCTAAGGTGCCCCCGAGACGTCACTGGACTTAATAATTTTAATCTAGAGCTAAATTATCCCCTTAATACAACAAACGACTTTTTGTTTTTATTTAACATCCTGTATCTTGAAAACTGCGTATTTTCAGTCCCATGTTTAAAGAAACTTTTTTCATATTTAACAAGGAATCACCCTTTAAAATACCTCCGGCTATTTTATTATATAACACCCTATATTTATTAATTACCTGCGAACTTAAAAGAGTATTTAATCCTTTAGGTAATTGGGCGCAGGAATATTTTAGTTTAGTTCAACTTTGAAAGAAATTAACAATTTTGTCGTTATTTTAAGCAATGCAATGAACAAATTTATATTTTAGGTTAGTATAGGTAGTAAATTAGATTAGTTGTAAATAAAAATTTTTAATCATCGATAGAATAATTATTTGTATATCTAGTTATTTTCACTAGTTTATACTTTGCGCCCAATTTATCTATCGGACTATAACTTTCATTCTCTGCGCTCAATTTAACCGTAGAATTAACTTTTATAATTCTTTGGGCGCCCAATTTACTTAAAGATATTTTCATTTTATTAATATCGCGATTACATTATAGCTACTGAACTCCTTTTATTTTTTAAAGAAGAAACAGGATCTGAAAAATTTATTTTAACATTTTTTGGTGTTAAATCATTGCCTACAAAATGGTTCTCTATAATTTGCAACGCGTCATTTGAGAGCGGAACGGTATATATCTCGGGATCCTCGGGAACGCATCCTTTAAGATTTAAATTTTCGGCAGGGATTCCTTTATGAATTATTCATACTGGCGAGTATAGCGATATAGAGTTATCGAGAGTAATGCCTATGTCAGTTCGGTATATATAGGGTTTTAATTAACTAAGAAGTTTACACTTCTATTAATCATTTAATTGAATACAGCTAAGTACTTTGAAGTTATGGGATCCAGGACTGGATCATAAATTTTAAGGATGTTTTGAATCGCTTGAAATATCATTGGAAATTAATTTAATCAGGAGACGATTGTTCCTAATCCAATAAATTGTTTATCAATTAGAAGGAAAAAGTATGTTAAATAATTACTTACGTTTCTTGTTCCTGCTTAAATGGAGATCGAAATGGGACAAGTGCAGAGATTAAATCCACACCCCTCGTAATTCATTGATTAATAGAGCCGTGTGCGAAGCCGCGTAAAGAAAATCTGAGTTAATTAATCAAGGTTTTTCCACCTTAAAACTATATCAGTGTCGAGGCACAGGGAAGCATCATTAATTTAAATTCTGCAAAATGTTGCTGCCCAATTTTTCGATTGAGAAATGAAATTTCTTATTTTTGTGGAGTTTGTAGTTTGAAAAAGATGAAGGTGAAGAAAATTTGCTTCAATCAATCTAGCAGCTTTTACTTATTGATCTTGGAAATATCCTAAAGAATATTCTTTTTGGGTATTTTGTAACTGAAACACCCTGTATAATTTATATTTCAATTACAACTCAAGTAGATCCAAAGAAATTAAGTTTTTTTTACAAAATTAACTAGATGTACTAGCTAACACTGCCATTTGGCTATAATTTTTCGTATGCAAAATGCCTTCAAATCAGGGCAAATATCCAGATTAATCCCCGCGAGAAGGCCTTTAAGAGCCCCTATTTACGCGCTCTGCTGGTGTTCTGCTCGTTTTATCATAGTTCGGCGGAATCCAATTTTCGAACATCTTTTTACTTCAAAGCTGATGGGACGGCAGCGCAATCGAAATCAAATGTGGTTCCGATTCACTAAATAGACTATAACGCCGGATCAAGCTCCTATATCGGACGCAGAGAAATTACGGAGGGTTTCTCCGATTGTCTTCATGGCTTCGGTATAAGCGTACCAACTTTTTATTTTTTGCGGGTGTTTAGAAATGATTTATATCTCACTTTTCTATGGACTACGAAAGATTAATTGTAGAGGAAACATTATAATTTTGTGTTTAATAAAAAATAGTTGTATTAACAAAAATCAAGTTTTAATCTATTTCAATTCTAATATTGTAGAAACAGCAATATAGTACTATGAATTTTCTACCTTTATGCACAAAATTTTCTCTCTTTTTTAATGCACGAAATATTCTCTCTACTTTTACGAACAACATTTTCTATCTACCTTTATGCACAAAATTTTCTCTCTACTTTTATGCACAAAATCTTCTCTCTATAGAGAGAAGTGCATTTTTGGATAAAGTGTTTTAAACAAAGATATGTAGGTACACTGAAATTTTACGTGGTTTTCAAAAATACATCAATACACAGGGTGTTCCATTTGAAATAACAAGTTGTGCCTACTTCCAGTGTAACCGGAAGCGATACGACTGAAATTTTATTTAAATCGGATAATTTCCAATATACCAACACATAGTTTAAGCTCATCGTGATCCTGTATAGAGTAGGTACGACCCAACTTTCAAATTTTTAAGTACGCCCTGAAAACGTCGCCGCAATTTCAGCATTTTTACGCACATTTTCATAGTACCTACTGAACTCTAGCAGATAAATCTTCGCGTATTGATATGACATTTATTCCATTTGAAACTTAAACGATCCATTCAGTAAGTACCAACGCAATAATCGCTAAATACTATTTTGTACAAATTCTAAATGGTTTTCATCACATAAACGCTTTGAAGTATTAGCCGATATTCAGAAATCGAATTCGTCCAAGAATATCAGTTAAGACGTAATCCGGTCCCAAATATTCCATTAAGAATCTGTACAAAGTTGCCGGAAGATTTATTGGAAAGTCGAACGGCCCTTTTGCCGCGCCATGTCCTCTCAGATTTATACGATTGGAATATTTATAATCCGCCGTGCCGCATAACGTGGTCGAACCAAAACTCCAGAACGAATTAAATATAACGTTTGTCCGTTCTGGATGCGAGTCTGGAGATTCGCAGTCGGGATTTAGGGGGAATTTCGACTCGGGCCGGCGATAAATCGCGCTGCATTGAAAACAAGGGAAAAGTGAAATTTCTTTTATTGAGGATAAAAAACGAACAGTTTCTAATCGATTTATTTATTGGATTTACTTTTAATATACCTACAGCTAACTTTCTTATTTATACATACAATTATTTACAGGTAGTACCTAGCTATCTACATTATTTTTATTAAATTAATGATAAGTATTATTGATATTATTTTGTTAATAATATTATATGTATCAAAATTATTAGGATTCTTAATTTAAATGTATCTAATGATAGGCAACCAACTAATATACATATGTAGGTTTATTTCCAAAGATTTTTTGGTCAAAAGAGAAACTATTGACTGAATAACAGAAAAAAATGTATACAAATTGCCTATTATTAGCTAAATCATGGTCTGGTTAAATGCTGAATGGTAATAAAGCTTATATGATTGATCTTAATTATACAATAGTAATAAGATTAGGTATATTATGTAATTTTGATATGGTATTAGTAAATTTAATATACTACATATGATATTTAATAATTAAATGCGTTATAATTTAATAATTTTATCAACTGCAAAATATTGATAACGCTTAACCCTCGGGGATAGTTCGCAGTCATTGATGTTCGTACAAAGGGAGGATTCGGGTTAACCCAAAGTGCAGTCGATAAGTTAAGTGCCCGCACCCTTTCCTCTAACGCTGTGTACCGAAAACCTTCATTAATATGCATAAATTGACATTGTACTACATTCTGATATTAATGCAAAAATTTCACTTGAATGTTAATGAGTTGACATTCGTTTGAGCATTGAGGCGGTTCGGGGCCATATTTGAACATTGTAATATCGATGGGTCGCCCGTCATTTCTGAATGTGTTTTAACGTGTTTGAACATGCCCTCCTGCCGACTGGATTTCCATTCGAAGATTACAGAGGGGTATTTATTGCGTTTACCTCGACTTCGTGTCGGCGGGCGATAGTATGAATTTTATGTTTTTAATTATTAGATAAGTATGTCCAGTTGGATGGTTTATGCGATCGCTATGTTTGGACAGAGGTAATTTTTTTTCAACTCTTGTTCGTCCAGCACGATTTACGTTGTTGGATCAACTGGTGTACGATAATTATTCATTTGTGTCCAAATTTATTTGCACATTTTGGGGCCTTTCTCCGAATGGAATATTAATGATAATAAAAAAGCCAGATATTAACCTAGTTTTCGAATTGAACTCGTTATGAATATTACATTTAGTAACCTTTTTAGTTCGAGATCCCCTTTGGCACAAAAAAATCATGAGTATTTTTTGCGCAAACGAAGAAAAAACACCCTGTAAACGCATATAAATATCCAATAAACATTTTTCCTCCATAAATCTACCATCGAATGTTCTAGTAGAACATAAACGCACTAAAAGGGCTGACCCGATCGTCTCAAACCGGGCAGAGAAATGCCCACACAGCATATTTTATAAATCTATAAAGACCCGGTTCGGCGTTCTGCCTTTGCCCGATCTTTTCCTTCGCTCGTCCGCCTTTCCAGCCGACTTTCGTCACTTTTCTTTTCACTTCGACCGAATTTAATTTAAATGAGCCCCCCTTTGACGTCCACCGCAACTTTTCTTTTTGTTTTTTTGACAGAGGTCCTGCCGAATTTGTCTACTTGAAACCCTTGAAAATATTTAAACAGCGAATTTTCCCTTCAAAACTTTCCAGAATTTATGTAATAGTGAGGTGTAAATTTTGCGAGGTAGGTGAGGTAAAAAGATAGTACATGTTATACTGTTTTTACCAATACCAACAGGAATGAAAACTTATTAAAGATTATGGGCTGTATTCAACGCTCATCTTTTTTAACGCTAATCAATCGTTTAGACTCTCTTTAACTTGAAGTTGTACATTGTTGTTATGGAGTAACTATATGAATACGGTGTACATTAAAGACTTTTTAAGCAATTAATTAGCGTTGATAAAAGTATTTTGTATAAATTGTAAATCTGTGATTGTCTGCATATTGGATCACTTCTGAATATCCAAGTTTCACCGGTATAATTTCTGTATTCTTTAAAGCCATTGAGCAACTTTTACATGTAGAAAATAAATATGTGAATAGTCACAGGGGGAGTATAGACTCCCCCTGTATATCATATAATTATACTTTCCAATAAAAAATAATAAAAATTGCACAATATTTGTTCAATATCATACAATTGTAAAAACAATACTAGTCCAATTTGGAAAATTTGCAGTTTAAATTATAAACAGTAGAGCTCGGGGCGTTGGAGAGGAGAGCGGCGGTCAGTCCATCAGTATTCACGACGGGATTACTAGGCGGTAGTTTACCGGCGTGTCAATATCGAGGTGATCAAGGGATGCCGAGGAAAACGAGAACGGACGTGACGTATCAAAGATCTGACCCCCTGAACGCTGCCAACAACCACCCTCGTTAGATGCTCGACCGATAAAAAAGTACACTCTTTCTCCTACAAGGCGCGCTCTTTTGTTATTTTCTCTTTAAACACCGCAGGAGTGGACTTGTGAATTCGCCCTTCTGTCGTTTAATTGCGTTTTGCAAGCTCGTTTCAGCTCGCCATACCGCGTAATAACTTAGAAATAAAATAAAACGAAAGCGATCCGCTACACCAGAAACGTTACCTACTCTTTGCACCTCTTGTTACGCCAGATTCATCCATTAAATATCTCATTAATTTCACGGTAAGTAACGCAAAAAAAGGACGACGGGGAGGGCTCTAACGCGCGCCGCTTTAACCCCCCGAAAAAAATGTATTCGGATGAAATTAATACGCGGTCGACGCGCAGAGTTATCGGCCCAGTTATAAATTAAAATCAACAAACCGGAACAACCACAATTACACTAGCTAGATTTATTAGTAATAACTTACACGGCGTCGCGACGCCCTGCCACCGCTACGGTGCCGTACACATATACAGCATTAGGCGTTTAGGGCGGCTGTCTGGTCATAATTAAAAGCCGAATTTTGCTACCCCCTAAAAGGGACTAGGGTGTGTTACTTCTTAACTTATTAAAAGGTAACTCTGACCTTTTATAATAAATAACCTTTACTTACCTATACGCAATTAATTTGTAGAGATGTAAGTTTGTGTGGAATATAGACTATTAAATCTATATAGGATGTTTATTGAACATGCGGCAAAAATTCAAGGTGTTGTTCCTTAATTGGACTATTATTCTGAGAATATTTTGTTCTTTGAATAGTATTGAAAACCCTCGTTGTTGTGGAATATACAGGCGAAACTACAATTTAGAGAAAATTAATTTTGATATTTTTAAAATTATCTCTGGATTGGTCGAGATGGATCTCACCTATGGCCCACCCGTTCGCCCGACTTAAGTCTAAACTAAAGTCATTAGTTTAGACTACTCCAGAAGAATATGTGAAAGACTTGCGACTTCAGATAATTCCTGCGTGCAACTCAATAAGAAACAATTTTGGTGCTTCTCAAAGAATTCGACAGTCAATGAAGAAAAGATTGGATACTTGTATTATAGCTGGAGATATATAGTTATTTTCAACAGTTCTTGTTGATTAAACACATGTATTTTTTGGTAATAAAATGTTGTCTTTTCGTCAACATTTTGTTCGACCTGTATGTTCCAGAACAACGAGGATGTTTCAATAATATTCAAAGGACATAAAATATTCTTAGAATAATCCAATGAACAACTTCACGAATTTTTGCCGGATATTTAATAAACGCGCTGTAAAATACTCTTCGAGTATTCGATGTACCTGTTCTCCTTTAGCCTGATATATGAGGGTGTTAAAGAGAAACAAAGTTACCTATCGAATTAACCGGGGTCTCCGCGTTCTGGTAGTAGCTGCTTTTCTGATTAATGAGGTCGTAGTTGACGCGCGTCTGATTCCGCTGATTCAGGTGGTTTCCTGCCGTCTCGTTCTCCGGCTGCGGGCGCGCCGTAGGCTCCGTCCTGCTCGCTCCAGATCGAGCCTGAGTCGCTGCACCACAAACCATCGCTAACAGTCATTTGAATGTCGGCCATTAGCGGCTTAGAGGCGAACAATGAGCCGCGAACGGGACGTTTATCAATTAATTTCTATACTAGGCGTCTAATGGTTCAGCTTTAGATCGGAATTGTACAAATCCTGCATGTGGGAAGAAAAGAGTTCTAATCTTACTCGATTGTCAAATTTCAAAAATAAATTGGTCTCTTTTAGATCTCTGAAAACAAATCAATTTTGAGGCAATAAACGAATTGTATGATGAATTGTTTCAAATGGCCTCTTTCTTATTTTTTTTATTTCTACACACCTATATAGCGGATCGTAATCGTTTCCCTCGCATTTCACCCGAACGAATCTCTAATCCGCCGTGTTCTTAATAACTTTTTAATTTGGCCCTGTCGTCTCAGACGAAATCGCAAAAATTATTATATTAGGAACGCCACCCGCTCGGCGGGAGTATTTAAAAAGCTTAGGGCTTAGTCGGGGACGGTGAGCGTGGCGGAGGGCGAGCAATAGAATAGTAATAGCTTATATTATTGTCTGCGTGGCTGCGATTACGACCCGGAGCTGGCGAAAGAAATTCCGCAATCATCCCTTAATGATTATTTTATAACCGACAGTTCCCCTTTCTTCGCGAAGCCCCGCGGAAATGTCGCGAAATAAATAAGCATAATTTAGGAACGGTGGAAATTGAAGGTGCAAACGGGGTTAATTTGGGGATTCCCCACAAGATGATATTATAAAATTAAAGCTGCACCACGAGTAAACAAGAAGGGACGGTTTTATAGATCCGTATATAGCGCAGTAATTTCATAATGTAGATCAAAAAAACTAATTTCATATAAGAGCAGGGTTCAGCTATATTTCGGACGTCGCGACGGAGGGCGTCTGGGGATGTATGGGAACAATAAGTTAATATCGACGGCCTTCTATAGCGGAGTAAGTTACGGAAACGCACCCTGTTATCTCTCTTATCTTGTTTGTTTGTTTTCCTTACTTCCTGATTTTATTGGCACTCCGTGACGATTATTTTCGGGACTGTCGAAGATTAGGTTCGTTCATTTAGTGGATGTACGAGTGAGGATTTCTGTCATCCGATAAGGAATACCTAATTTATGTTCACATACTAAATTAATTTATTTATTGCAGCTATAGTTTAGAGTAGTCAACACTAAGTCCATCGAAAACTCAACTTATTTTACCCTTACAAAGACTTGTAGATAATGTAACTGTATTTTCTTAACTATAGGTTCAGTGGTAATTTTTATGATGAAACTATAATGCTTTAAATGAATACTTAGAGAATTTATTACGTCAAGATGGGGCCGGTCATATCTAGGTACTCCTGTCGCATTGCACTCAATATTTTCAATTTCTATACCTACATAATTTGCCTGAAATTGAGTACCAAAATTTTACTTTTCAGCAAACAATAAACGGTTTTAGTTTAACAGAAACAAAATTATTTACCCCTAAAGCCCGAACGCCCGAACTTTCGCCCCCGACAACCCCCGCGCGGTAAATAAACGATCTAGCCGCAACATTAACTGCGACAAATAAAGATGCGACCGACGTCGATGTGCGTCTATTCCCAACAGTCTAATAGCACCTCGTCGATCGTCTCGAGAATAGAAGAAAAAAACCACCCCTGCTGACCGCCCCTTACTTCCTATTCTTTCCGCAACCGTGGCTAATTGAGCGCGCGGGTGACACAACGCGGCGCGACGGTCCGCTCCGTAATGAAGTTACCTACCGGACCGACCTAATGGGCACGAACCGCCGCCGAGATAAAGCCTCCGCGTCCATCGGGGGCGGCCAGAGATGGACTTCCGATATTAATTACCAACAACAACGCAATAATATTAGCCTGCTTCCTGTTGGTGCGTGGATCTTGTATTTTAAGAAGGAGGAGACTTGAAGGATTTTGATACTGTCGAGCTCGCGCAGCGAGTGGGACCCTTAAGTATATGCAGCTAACGAGTGGAATTTAAATTAATGTAAGGTTTTGTGTGGTGTACTTTAGGGATTAATAGATTGTGGTTGCTACTAATATCTGTAGGTTCATGCTGGAAGGATTCAGTTCAGTGAATATTTTTTAATGTTGTCTGAAGGTTCGATTAGTACTAACTTCCTTTAATCGCAGAGTGTCGTTGAACTCACACCATTTTCTGCATTTTTTGACTTAATCGAGGTAAAACTCTACTCAAAAAAAACCAGACGAAATGACCATTTTTATCCTATAGGTATATCTTGGTTATTTAACTTTTGGTATGTACCAAAAAAAGAGAATCAGTCCGACACTGCTGGTTGGAGCTGAAATAATGGTGGTAGATCCGTGTATCACTTATCACGGTTGTAAATAACGGTGTGCTTTGTCGCACTGATTATGTGTCGTTAAGTGCTAGATCATCGGTCTTTATGGCGCGTAAATGTGACCATTTAGTAGCTACTGCCGATTTGCCATCATGGCTCCACAATTAATACAGATAATTTTATCAATTCGTTGAACATCATTGGTCGCAGATATTAATTGTTTTTTCTCTTCCCTTCTTAGTGCGTTTGTTTTTTAATAAAGCGTTGTTTGTTTTTTATTCAAGTTGATTAATTTCAGTTCTGATTTTCATACCGGTACTTAACCGTGCTATCATACTGTAGTAAATTCTCGAGTAGTAAATAATAAAAATGATTTTTGATTCCCACATGTATTAAAATCTCTTTCGATTAGCTATAAAAACAAATGAAGCGATAACAATATGGTAGCTATATAGCACTCTGTCTAATGCCACAACAACAACCTAAAAATACCACCTAATAAAAATACAACAATGATTCTTCAACAGCAAATAAAAACAGCATCTGCAGATGTAGTAAAACAAAAAAAAAACTATACATGCAGTTGCCGTCTATAGTAGCCTGCAAAATCATCGGCGACCCATCTCCATCTGAAATATGTCGATTCCGTCGGCGGTCTCCCCCGGGAGGAGGTTAAGCGCTCGATTTGTCGGGGTAGGTCATTAAAGCTTGCATCACCTCGCCGGCAGTGGCCGGAGGAAGGACGGAGAAGTAGCCGTTCCCCGGGCGCTCGTCAACGAGATTACCCTCTAAACGTAATCCAATCACGGAATCTTGACTTTATATGCGCCGCTATCGCCGCCGCCGCCGCCGCCTCACACCGATGCGATACTCCTATAATGTCGCGTTTCGATAAAAAATCTTCGAATGCGGACTTTCACTCTTTAGTCCGGCAGGAAATTTCGAGGATAAGTTTAACAACAATTTTATTATTGTTGTAAACGAGGAATCAAAAATTACCGATTTTTGATAAAGTATTTTTTTGCTTGACTCGTCTTCTCTATTTTTTTGGGTTTCAATTAAACGTTATAGGCAGCGATTTTCCAGCGAAACGGGTCCTATTTAGGAGTTACGTCGGCGAGAGAGGGCGACATTAGAGTAACGATTTCCACTTTTTCCACTATAACAATGTCGTTAGGCACCCGCATAGCAAATAAGCATCAGTGTGAACACGATTGGTGTGGGGCCGGAGACCGCGATTTTCCTGAAATAATACGGAATGCAGGTCGAGTCTGCCGCAAATATCTTTCCTATTTCAGTTCGTTCGTTCTTCCAGCGGCGGATTCGAGTTTATAGCATCCTTTCACAAAATATATTATTCTATAGGACTCTTTAATTCCACTAAACATCTACTTGAATCAGTAAAAGACGATTATTTTTACTAGCAATAGATATCCTGGAATATCCCGTACAAATAACACACTAATCGTTTTGGTGCACTAAATATTCTTATTTCCCTAACATCCTAATCAGGCGGTGTCCTGAAAATTCCTGATCCACTCCTGATCTTCGACTAGGACTAGGACCAAGGAGGAACGAGGAATGTCTCAATCGCGGAGACTTCTCGTCACGAGACACGGGCAGGCACGCATCGAGGAAATCGAAATTACCCTTATAAATTGAAATAGGAAGTTGCTCAGTGACGGGGATATTCGAGCGTATTGTAATGGACTTGGTTAGGGGATGTTGATGTGTATCAGATTTGTAAATTTTATGTTGGCATTTTACGTTTGCGGTGCCTACACATATGAAGGTGGAACAGAGGAGAGGAGTTCTGTATACACATTGAGGTATTTCGAGTCTTAAATTCTTCCGAAAATGTATCAAATTCCTACATGTAATCAATCATCAATCAATGTTTCTTTCAATATTTAGAGTTCTAAAAATAGTTTAGTCGAAAAATAAATTGTTCCGATATAGTACCTACCTATCTACCTATTAAAAAAAATGTAAATTATTAATGTAATTTAAATCGCACCTAAATATGTACCTACATATATTTCTGTTGAATTTCGGGCTTATTTGAGAATAAATTTGCGAGTGATAAAGCTCTTACTTTATCTGTTTTATTTCAATTTATGTATGAAATGCATGTTGCAATCATCGTTAAATTTTTGACCTTTTATTACAAGCTAGTGAGAAAAAATCATTAATACTGGCACGTGTATTGATACCGTAAATTACCCAATATTTTCTTCCCAGTACTATTTCACAATATGTACTTCCGTTATTCCAGCATCAACTTTGTTATCCTTACCAAAGACAATAATGTTAATCTACAGAACGTACCTCAACAATTTTTGCATTTTGATTCATTTTGTTATTTTTTAAAATAACCAGCAAATTATATCATATTTAGAGATAAAAACGTTGCGAAATTCATTTGCATCCAAACCAAACATAAACTCTGTGTGTCAGCGAATAATAATTGGTTGTAGGATCGCGAACACCCTGTATCCATTCATACGTTTCATTCATTAATTAAAACAGAAATTGATACAATTCGCTTCATTGCATTCATAATTAGATGATTGTTGCAACATTGCATCGAAAAAAAAGCACGTGTGTATTTGATAACAGTATAAATATAATTATTATCTTATTTAACGGGTTAGATTTTTTCGTTAAAATCTGTACATTTTACATGTGCATCCTATC